TCCTGTTTTAAAGATCATGATGGTTGATACATTTCACTTAAAGGCTTCAGCCAGTCTGCAGACTGGGCATGTATAGTCTTATGCGTTATGAGGAGAATGTTAAATTCAATCCTCTTTTCAACTGTAAGCCAGTTAGTATAGGCGTCACATGATCTGAACGTTTTAGACCCATCACAGGACACGCCGCGGTATTTTTGGAGTCGTTGGAGTTTGTTCCTTAGATATTTAGGAATACCGTACAAAAGACAATTACAATAGTCCAAATGCGACATGACTAGGGCATTAACTAACATTTTAAGTCCGTCTAGAGAGGGATTTCATGGGTCCTATTGATCTCATGGCGAGAGTAGATTTCTTACACAATTTCATTGATGTGACTACTAAATGACTAGTTATTATCCATAATAACACCCCATTAGGTTCCTTACTTTCTTTGTCATGTTAATTTCAGTATATACTACTGACATATGCTTGAAGCGAAGACTGGCTGGATATGGGGAAGGTTTTTTGGCATTTTTATGGACCGTCCTGGGACCGACCAACCTAGACGAAGTCGTGGTGAATAAAAACACAATGGCAAGCTATTTTGACAGAAAAAGCTTAATCAATAAAACATTTATTATATGGCTGAAAGAACATTTTTCTTGTGGGATTTGTGCTGGTAAGATAGACCCATCTTTTCCGCTAAGGTAGCCAATCAGAACACAGGATTCGCTTCATATTATTATGTTCACTGCTGTATTGTAACAGTTGACTGAAATTCTCTTCAAAGAAGTAATAGATGCCTCAGATCTGTTTTTGGTAGGCTTCTTGGTGGAGACCCCTATGACGAGTATGGGACTGTCGGCTTAATTTCCTTGTCCCTAGGCCTTAATATTCCGCGCGCCCAAGGCGTTTATGGTCGCGTGGTCCGATGGTCTGTTACACAGCTGTTTTTAGTGTCGTTGCGTGACGATACTAAAAACGGCTGTGTAGCAGACTAGTGGTACGAACGATAGCCTGCAAAAACATCCGTTTCTCCTTTTTCTTCGCCGCTGGGGATGTTTTGCGCAGGCGATTGGCCATTTCGGAGTTGCGTAGGGAACTGGGGCGAGTTTCAAATTCAAACTAATCGATAAACTGACACTACCATATAAAAGGTCATGTTCAGATATTTTTAACAAGTGTGGTGCCCTAAAGTTGAACAGGGGTTAAGTTATGACTCTTGAAACATGGTGAAAGATCCATACAAACCTCTGTAATTTTGTGACAGCTTCCCCCAAAACCATAATATATAGATTTAGCCAGGGCTAAAAGCGAAGCTCTGGTTAATAATACGTGTAAACAAAAACAAAATTAGCTAAAAATCAACTTGCACGTGCAGCACACTTTTTCTTCTTATTAGCCAAAAACACATTTGCACGTGCTGCACGCTTTTTTTGTCTTTACCTTGCCGTTGTTTTGCATGATTACAATGCTGTTTTGTACTACTAAAACGTCAAACTTCCTAGTTACATACACATTATTTTTATGGAGGAATTGTCGTATGTGCTTACCCAATATTTTTTTCCTGTGTTCATGTTCGCTTTTATTTTCCACTGCCGCTCATTTTCACCTTACTGGCCGCAAGCATTCCCAATTTCTCACCGCAGCCTTGAATTTCCATGTTTTTCTTCCTACGAAATTCGTCTCCTTTCTTTTCAATAATTCGCTCTAGCTCTTTCTTTGTTGTCCACGTTAGTGTAAACATAAAAAGTAACGCCGAAAAAGACACGACTTTTTTGTTGTTGTTTCTTTCTAAAAGTCCGGGTGGCCATGAGATTTCCTTCCAAATAAAACCTTGGGTTGCATTTGGGTTGCCATACCTGTTGATTGACTTATTTTACATTGGTATGCCTGTGGTGTGGACGGACGGTCGCTCGCTCGACCGGTGTACGGTCACGTGATTACCAAATTTTCTCGGATGGGTAGACTACCACATTTCCTTAGCTATGGGGCTCCGCCTACGTGCGGTGCTTCGAGCCGGGCGTGGAACTTCGCTATAAACTCTTAATTTTTTTCACGATTTCTATGATATTCTTAAAAATGGGCAAACACAGTGATTCTCGAATTAGTTCCTTCCAAGTGGTAGATGCATGACATATTTTACAGTTCAAAAGAAAAACTGAAAAATTTTAAAAAGTTTACATGGTTTTGGGGGACGCTGTCACACAATTATAGACGTTTATTTGGATCTTTAACCGATCTCTTTAACCATGTTACAAGAGTAACTTTTGTAACTTTATTTGATTTACCACAAAATACAAATAACGATAAAACAAGACAGTTACACAAAAGCAAATGAAAGTGGTGAGGAAGCCCAAAAAGAAACCATGAGGCTTATAGACATTAGGCTCCCTCATAGTGAAAATAAAGTTAACAGTAACAGTAAGGCCAGGATCGAAAGTAAAATACAATGAAGATAAGTATAAATTAACTAATTACATAGACTGAGTTAAGTTGACAAAATATAAGGTATGGTACATGTAACAATACGTATAAAAATAACATCAGACATGTGAACAAATATAACTATTTACTACAAGATTTATAACTAATAATTCATATTTATTTTTATTTTCAATTTCGTTTTGAATAAGTGGAGAGAATTAGATTCTTTAATATCATTTTCTATAGAGTTATAATAAGTAGGTCCTTGGAAACTGACAGAAAATTTACGAAGGTTTGTTCTACAAAAAGGAAGGTGAAAATCGTTCGCGTATCTAGTGGCATAGCTATGGACTTGTTTGTTTAAAGAAAAATAATTGTTGAACTTTGAAGGCAAAAGAGAATGGTTAAGAGAAAACATAAGTTTACCCAATTCTAGTTGTCTAATATCGGAAAGTTTTAGTAGCTCTAATTCTTTGAAAATAGGGTCTGAATGAGAATCGAAAGTTGATTTAGAAATAATTCTGATAACTCGCTTTTGCAAAGAGACAAGACGGCGAAGATTGGTCTTGTACGTAGATCCCCAGACAATAATACAATAATGAAGATAAGGATAAACTAAACAATAATAAAGAGTTTTTAGACAAGGTTTAGGTAGGAAAAATCTTTCTCTATTAATGACACCTATTGATTTCGAGATTTTACGAGCTACTTGAGAAATGTGCGGTTCCCAAGACAGATGTTCATCAAGGACTACACCGAGGAAGACCGTTTCCTTAACCTGGTCGATTCTCTGTTCATTTATGCATATTTGCATTGGAAAATGATAGCTTTTCTGTCTAGGCTTAAATAACATAAAGTTTGTTTTCTTCAGGTTTTAGGAGAGTTTGTTTGCCTTAAACCAAGTGGATAATTTATTAAGTTCGGAATTGAGTGAGGCTGCCAGGTAGACAGGATCTTTATCGGACATAAATAAATTAGTATCATCAGCGAATAAAATCAGCTCGACGAGCGTCGATACGTTATTTAATTCATTAATATAGAGCAAGAAAAACAAGGGGCCCAAAATGGATCCCTGGGGGACACCACAGCAGATAGTTTGAGTAGAGGAGCATTGACCGTTAAATTGAACGAATTGCAACCTGTTGGAGAGGTAGCCTCTAACCCAGTCCAGAGCCACGCCACGTATACCATAGTGTTCGAGTTTGTCAAGCAGAATATTATGATCGACAGTATCAAAGACCTTAGAAAGATCAAGGAAAACGCCAACGGCATGTTCATTGCGATCAAGAGCAAGGGAGATTTTTTCATATAGGTCACTCAATGCTAACGAAGTTGAATGATTTTTCCTGAAGCCAAATTGATTATCACATAGAATTTTCTAGTTTACTTAAATAATTATAAAGACGGTTATAAACAACCTTTTCAAGAAACTTAGAAAAGCTAGGGAGAATCGAGATCGGTCGAGTCATAACTTGATCCCTGTTCAACTTTAGAGCACCAAACTTGGTCAAATGAGGGACTTGTCAGAAATTAGTAGGGGAGGAGGTGGTGGAAATTTAAATTTGGGTTCGGAAATGAGGTGACACATCCCTGTAATGGGAGAGAAATTTGCTAACCCTCCCCTCGAGCTTGGCCTAAAATATCATGACCCTTCCCACGTTACAGAATTGAAAGGAACACAAAAAAGGAAACAAAAACACAATGAACGGAAAGCAAAGAAAGCTAGTTCAACAAGAATGGAAGCTAACTGCAAAAGGGTTATTGAAACCATTGCACCTCAGCAAGAGTTGCATGATGCTACAGAGCCTGTTGGCCCATTATCTCTTCATTATGAAGGAATAAGTCGGGTCCTTAAAACACAAAGGCCATATATCCAATATGCCTTTGAGAAGGTTTTGTTCACCAATGAACCACAGGACATTATCAAGCAATATCTACTCTTCAACTTAAATGGAAATCATGATGATGATGAAAGTGATTGTATTAATGCTGATGACATAAATGATGATGATCAAGATGCTCACAGCAGCTTTGATGGTGATGCTGAAGACTCTGATGAATAGAATAGCCAAAACTCTGATAACATTGATAACAACATTATTCGTACTTTCAATAAGACTCTATGGCATTGTTGTAAATGAAAAGTAAATGTTCGTTAAATTCTTGCAATAGTACTTCACAGTTTATATCCATAATGCTCCGTTGTTCTTGTTTTTTTCTCTCTTGTTTTTTTTTTCACCAGATATAGAACTTCCTTTTTCTTCTGTGGGTGAACCTCTGCATGATCACGGGCATATATTTGCATGACCTCCCCCTTTTAACGGCCCATCTTTCATAACCCCTCCCTTTGCTGAGTCTCAAAAAGTTGTGACCCTCCGTCTGTTTCCACCCCTCTCCCCCCTGCTAATTTCTGACATGTCCCTGACCAATCTCAACATGACCTCTTATATGGTGGCGTCAGTTTATCGATTACTTTCAATTTGAAGATCGCCCCAGTTCCCTACGCAACTCCAAAATGGCTCATTCGAGCGAAGAAGTAAATTTGCGATACACTATGTGAGCCATACATGAAGTGCTTCCTTACCCTTGCAGCCTCACCACCCGCTCTTTGCTCTTTTGGAAAGAGAGGACAGAAAGGGAGTATTTTGGGGGAATACGAATTATGGAGAATCGCAGAGAAAGATATATTCTTGTGCAAGATCGTGTGGGCTATGTGCAAGAGAAAAGCGTGTTGTCTTTTTTGAGTGGAATAAAGTCAACACCTACACAGATTTTCAAAGGAGAGTTACTGGAGGCTCTCCCAGAAACGGAGCAACCTAACGACTCAACAAGAATAGCTCTTGCTGGAATTGATCGGAAAAATTTACGTCTTGAATGTGATAAGGAAGGCATAGCGAAAGTAACAAGCGAAGATGCTAACTTGCTTTTGGCTATTTCTTCAGTAGTTTCAAGGTATCAGACTTTTATTAATAAGAAACGATTAGATTTCGGGCGACAGATCTTACCCGGAAGGCAGGTGCTTGTGGAAGTGAAAGGAATTTCCAAGAAATTACATGGAACTGCGTGGTACATTGGCGAATTACCATCCCTTCATGGAACCTATTTTGGTGTACAGTTGATTGTAAGTATTTTTTTAAAATACTTAAATACGTTGATAAAATACTCCTAAAAACAGTGTACGCCATACCAGTGCGGATCGAGTGTATATAATTTTTTTATCTTAGATAATTTTTATTTTTCTTTTCCTTCAACTTCATTTGCATACATTACCATACTCCAAAACAAAAGAAAAACAAAAATTACCTGAGATGAAAAATTAACTAGAACATATACTTTATTGCTGATGCTTGAAACTGTTTTAATCAATTTCAATTGCAATCTGTGAGATAGATTTAGTAAGAGTGGGTGGCAATATCCTTGGGGAGATCAAGGCAAAATTGACCTCGGTGGATCAAGTGGATTTTGGTGATGGCCTAACAACTTGCAAAGGCCCGTTTCAAACGCTGTGCCAAACTCGATCAATTGATCAAATTAAATTCAACTTTAGCACGGCGGTAGCGTGACGTTTGAAACCAAGTCATGCTATTGCCGTGTAGCATAGTAAGCCTTGCCTGGCCTTGCTACACAGCAGTAGCTCGACTTTTGGTTTCAAACGTTGTGCTACCGCCGTGCCATACTCAATTCATAAATTATATAATATACATTAAAATACATTTAAAAGTTTGCTAAATTGCTTCTTTAGTTTTGTGTTTTGTTTTCGGCAACAGCTGCTCTATTTGTGCCTAAATTAAATTCTGAAACCAAGTCGTGCTAGTGTGGTGCTGCAGTCGAGCCAGCTTAGCACTTCAGTAGCACAACGTTTGAAACTGGCCTAAGCTTGTTCTGGGGTGCTTATCATTTCAATTTGACAGATAAATCTGGTTCGGCTACCTAGTGGCATGATGGTAAGTAAAAATCTACCCATTTACTGCAGAATTGCCAATTATATTACGGGTTTGAATCACCAAAAGGTGCAAATACACATGGCTGGTTCCCCGGGGGACTCCCATATGAAACAGACGGGGATGCTTGTCGACTCGCTTAGGGGTGTAAATTTTGGATTTTGGTCTCGCTTATATACCTGCCAACTTTTTCTGAGATATAAGCGTGAGATTTTTATCCTGGGAGTGCTGGGATTTTTGAAGACGACACAATCATTTCCGAAGATTCCCAAAGAAGTCCGAAGTCTTCCGAAGACGTCCGAAGTCTGCCGAAGGCGAAGTTTTCACTTGCTTTTCACTTCAAAAATCAGAGATCGCGAGGAAGGTATTGTCATTTATTCATTTTACACATGGTTTTTGTTCCTTACATGGGTCTGAGTTAACATATTTTTGGAAATTGTGTCAAGCAAGACGGCAACAACTCACATTTTTCAATCAGGCGTGAGAAATTGGCCCGCAAGCATGAGCCGGCGTCAGATCGAAGTTTTCAACCCGCAGGTGTGAGACTCACGCCTAAGGCGTGAGAGTTGGCAGGTATACGCTTAGGGTGTTCCGGGCAAAGCGCCAATATTTTAAGCCGCCAAGGTCTTGTTTAGGGTTCCGCAAAGAACTTGAGATTTATGACAATGCTTTTAAAAACTACTTTTAGATAAAAGCATTCGATGATTATGTCTTTATATTATTAAAACTCATTGCATGTCATATTTGTGTGTTTTTAGGAGGTCTCTTTTAGGGGTCAAAATTTGCTTAAGCTATGCCCAGATTGGTCTGTTTTAGGGGTCACAAAAAGCTTGAGGCACGCCAGATGGTCTCCTTTAGGGGTTAAATTCAAAATTTCCGACAAGCATCCCATCTGTTTCATATGGGAGTCCCCCCTCCCAGGGCTGGTTCACTGGGAAAGTGGTACATCAGTGGTGTATTACTTACGACATGAGATTCTGTGAGAAAATCATGTTTATTAGGAAGCACAAATTATGATAGCTTCAAACTTTGTTGACAAGTTGTGTCTAGCCTGCGTAGCAAGCCTTTCCGTGCAAGTTAGCTGAGAAAGTTGGGATGAGAGAAAAAAAAGGAATGACGGGAGAGGGGGAGGGGAAAGAAGGAAACGCTTGCCTGCAAACCCCTGTGACTGTTCTGAAAAACTGTGTTCGCCCACGAGCTCAGCTTCTGATTGGGACGGTGCTGGTAGTGTTGGTTACTTAGCACTCGAAACATCAATCAAACCAGGTATGCTTTGTTTTTCGTGCGTCACAGATCTGGTCTCATCTGATTTGTGGTTGCAAATTACAAATACTTCGACTGATATTTATTTGAATTGTGTTTGTGTGAAGGTTTATGAGCTCAGAGTCTTCAAAGTATAATTGGAGATCGAGCAGTGTTGACTAGGGAAGGCCAATGTATTGGGAATGACGGCGTGTGGATCTGACTGGAAAAAATGGACTGTTTGTTGGAGATAAATCAGAAGATGGGTACTTGAGCCTAACTAAAGCCACCATGGACAAGCGATTGATCAGCTTTTTGAAAGGAAAAGGTTCTATTTGTTTATTGCAAATTTAGCGGCATGTATTGTAGAGAACGTTTCAACACGGGCCGAAGAGCAGCCCCTCTGCAAAACTTATAGCTGGCGGAGTAAATTGTTCAGGACAAGCTTTCAGACGAGATAAAGGCACACAATAAAATACAAGAAATTCCACAGCAATCGCTCAGAGTTTTAACCTTCTTTTATCGTAAACCTTTTTTATTACAGTTTTTGCAGTCATCTGAAAGTCGTGTTCTATTAGAGAACAATTCAAAGTAATGTTAAAAATCTGGTCATCCATGGTTAATCTGTTATACTTCTACTTTGATGAGCTGTCAATTTACAATGAACCAAACTGTGAAATATCAAGGGGCATTTTCCAGAATCATGGGGTTTGCGGGCAAGCATTTCCTCTTCTCCCCTCACCCTCCCCCTCCCACCTTTTTTTTTTTGGTTGATCTGGCTCTAACTTTCGCGCAATAACTTGATTGGAAACGCTTGCTACGCAGGCTAAGTTGTGTCTTGTTGTCATGGCTGTTGAACTGCAACCTACAACATAGTTAATCTGGAGGCATTTTCTGAACGAAACTGTTAAAAAACCCAACATTTTGAAACCAAGTGACCCAAGGTTTAAGTTTATTTGGCTGAAGTTACTTTACACAGGGGTTACATATGCATCTGGGCTCAGTTGTTAACGTTCCACTGAATATATATTTATCCTAGTTTTCTTAATACTTATCCACTGGATTGTGATTTATCCAGTGAATAGTGCTATCCACCATTTGAACAACTTGTGCCTTATGATCTAAAGATTAGATCAGGCTAAGCCTATCCCTGGTTGCTGTCCCTGACTCAATAATATTGTTTTTCTTATTATGTATCAGTCAAATGGAAGCTTCAATGTCCCTCCCAGTATACCCATTTGACACATTTGCAGGGCCTCCATTGCTGTAGAAATAGATCCTGTTCCTAATACCTGCCATCTTTGCATGCTCTTAAGGACTAAAGGGGTATTAAAATAATGTCATTTGATTTGTCAGGGGGAAAACTAAAAAGGGATAAAATTTGCCATTTATTCAAGAAACCATGGTCAAGGGGCTGTGATGGGGGTGGGGGGTTCTGTGATGTGGTTTGGATTCGGTGATAAAACTTTTTTTTTTGGTGTTAACATAGGTTGTGTTTTCACCAGGACAATTGTGATTACAATCAGTGACAAAACTGTTGAGACATTGGGCTCAAATAGGGTAACTTCAGAGAACAAAAGAATCGACACCACTTCCCTGTCCCCTCCATTCAACATTGGGGTGTTTATTTTCCCCTTTGAAGTCAGTAAAGTGTAAAAAAGCCCAGTTTAGGGTGGGGTGTCTCACCCGATTGTCGCTGATTGTAGATAAAGCCAGAAAAGTCTGGGAATACAGTGAAAACACCTTTTGTTGTTTTAAGCTAGTTAAAAATGCAAGCTGTTTTCACAAGCAAAAATGAGGGATTTTCTCACCTTTACGACCAGAAATTCAAGCAGAGCTATACTATCTTGCAAGATGGTATACCCACAGCCAATCGGGTCACTCATAGTGACAGATGCCTGCCAAATAATCTGGTAACAATCACCTCCTGGTTGAGCATCAGAGAACTTTAACATGGCAAATGATTTCAACAATCATTTCTTTCAATTTACATTCCCACCAACCCCATTGGATCCTCCAGTTCCTCTTCAGGCCCTTAACTTTTTCAGAGGACTGGTGTGCAGAACCATTTACCACATTACAACCCATCAAAAGTATTTCCACTACCATTTATGCCTCACCTGTCTCCTTCTACAAGCAGCGAGACATACATGTAGCTGCTATCGCTGAAAAAACTCTTTCTGCTTCACAATCATATGGCTAGAATAATCATAAGAGAAGTCATGGGGAACAGGGTATAGGAACAGGGTATAGTTTTTGTATGGTTTTTGTCTTGTCCTGTAAAAAGGGTATATAATTACTAATTTTGCATGCCAGTCTGTCCTTGAGAGGGTAAATAATTTTGTGCAAACTGTCCTATTATTGCGAACGGGTATAGCCTGCACAATTGAGTTGATTTGTTTGATGAAATTTGCTTTGTGCTCCAAGTATACAAAAGCAGGGACTATGAAGTTGATATTCTCAATTGCAATTACCATTAAATGACTTTTAATAAAGGCAAAGTTCATTTTGTCGGTTTTTCCTTAACAGGGTAATCTAATTCATAGTGTTGTCCTAAACAGGTTATGTATTTTAGGATATTTATTTCGAATTTATTATCCTTATCAGGGTGGCTTTCAAACCCTGACAGCCACTCGTCTCTACCCAATGGTTGTAATGAGTAACCTCCCCCCTCCCCAGGCATTTTCCCATTTGCTTTGTTGTTTGTTTGCACCAAATTTAGTGATCCTTAATACACAAATAGTTCCGTGATTGAGGTCAAATGGTAAAGGAGGGTCTCCAATAGGTTTTTTGGGATCCAGAATTTGCCTTATTTGAAGGCCAGGAATTTTTTGGATTTAAAAGCAAATTAGAGGGGGCAAGATTCCGAAATGCCAATATATTGGGGTTGTAGGATGCCCATAAAAACCATACGGATTAGGAATTGAGCAAAAATCTGGACTGGGATGATGGGATTGGAGAATGTAATCCTTGGGACCTCTGCATAATTATGAAGAGTAGACTCAATCACAAGCTGCCCATCCCCTACTCATGGGCATTTGTTTGGCCGTAATTGTCAGAGATATTGCTTGAAGCTGTGCCTGGTAAATGGATGTTTAATATGGCATTAGCAAAACAGTAATAGGTTTTTTCTTTATTTTTAAGGTATGTCATGTAATCTGGGAATTAGCTGTTTGTTGTGTATTTTCCCTGGCACAACAGACACCAGTGCTGAGTGAGATCTGTGGGATGGGGTTTTCTTCACTTCTGATCTTGATCTTGTTTTGTCCTTGTCATATTTTCATTTAAATAAACAAAAGATCCATTCTGTCTCTCATTTAAATTGGACTTGGTCAATGGACCCTAATACTTTAGTTCAGAATTTGTCATAGACCTTTGGTACACTGTAAGATATTTCTATTATTGAACTGTTTACTGTCAAGATTGATATTAGTTTTTCTTTTTTATTTTAATACCTTCTAGAAAAATCCTGGCCAAGGAACAACAGATGGTACATTCAGGGGCCAGGGGTATTTTCATTGTCCCCCAGATTCGGGAGTTTTTGTTGCTCTTGATAAACTTGCACCTTTTTTTGAAATTAATGAACGAGTTGTGACATTTGCTGGCGATGCTCCAGTCAGAGGAACTGTTCGTTTTATTGGTGAGGACAAAGGCTCACATGGACAAGTTCACACCATTGTAGGATTAGAGCTGGTGAGTGACATAGTTAATGTAGTCGTTACATGTAGAATACACTTCGACTTGCTCGAAAAGCACTCTAATATCTTTTCAGTTCTTTCTAAATTAAGCTTATAGTGTAAACTTTGGTATCTAAAGGCCTTTTGGGATATTGATGTCCATTTATTATTCCCCGGAAATGACGTACATGAATTAAAATTCTTGTATTTTTGCATATAATAGCAGGATACCAACTACAAATTTGAATCGCAATATGCAGGGAATTTGTTTGTTTGTTCATTTTGCAATGAAGAGCCTGCTTGGTGACAACTTTACTGGAAATGAAAAGTTGCTCAAAAATTGCCGGATTTTGATGCAAGCCTTAAAGCTTTGTTGTACTTTTTTGAGAAGAATTTTAACTTTCAAATGAGGAAAACTTTCAGTTTTGCTCTAATTTTGGTTTTTAATCTCGTGGATACATAACGGGTATCTGCCAGTTGTTGAGGTGGTATCATGAAAACAACGTAATGTCGTTGTTGCCGATGTGCGCATAATAAGTTCACATTGGCCGTGCATTCACTCAGGCAACCTCGTGAGAGAGACCGTAAAAGTTTCACCCCAGAACTGGTGCAAAGTTTCGCAGCAAAAGCCAGTAGTCGTACGTGGTCAGTCCGGCAATCACCGTAAAAGTTTCACACCAGGACTGGTGCAAAGTTTCGCAGCAAAAGCCATAAGTCGTAGGTAGTCAGTCAGGCAATCACCGTAAAAGTTTCACACGAGAACTGGTGCAAAGTTTTGCAGCAAAAGCCAATAGTCGCACGTGTTTATTCAGGCAATCAGCGTGAACGTTTTACACCAGAAATGGTGCAAAGTTTCGCAGCAAAAGCCATAAGTCGTAGGTAGTCAGTCAGGCAATCACCGTAAAAGTTTCACACGAGAACTGGTGCAAAGTTTCGCAGCAAAAGCCAGTAGTCGTAGGTAATCAGTCTGGCAATCACCGTAAACGTTTCACCCCAGAACTGGTTCAAAGTTTCGCTGCAAAAGCCAATAGTTGTTCGTGTTTAGTCAGGCAATCACCGTGAAAGTTTTACACCAGAACTGGTGCAAAGTTCAAGTTGTACGATGGTCTTGTGATGTCTATAAGTTATAGAATCGAACCGCAGTTGAACAAAAAAGTAAGTAAGATCACACGTAGGAAGGCAAGCTTACTGAGAGAGACCCAATCAGTTTGCTTGAAGCAACCGTCATGTTAAATTTGCGTACAGCAACAGTATTTCAGTAAATAATACTGCTACCGAAAAATCCACGTAGTTTTTGGCAATAAGATAAGCTTAGGTGAAACCTTCTTCAGTACGTTCAAAAATCGAGTTGAAGATGGCAAACGTGACGTAACTGCGTCCTATTGCGTGTTTCGCGTTTCGCGCTCGCTCCTCCAAACAACCCTGAGCACCTCAATGACGCCTGTTGTGTAGGCTACAGTTGAGTTGTAAGGGCGGCTATTTTGTAAAAAGCAATAACTTTATGACAACCAGAAGAAAATAAAAATTCCAAAGAGAAATATCTGCCGTTTCTCGCGCTGAATTTAAAGTCGACGTTCTCGCTTTTGCGGAGTTTCGTTTGTAAATCTTCCCCGACAAGGATTTCCAGCCACTTGTTGAATCAAGCGTTGCTGAGTTTGCTGTTTTCTTTTATTTGCCTGAGATATTGGGTGGTGATTCGCCTACCGTAAACATTGTTATAATTCACATATGAAAATACCCTCTTCATGAATATAACCCGGAGCTTTGTCATCGATGGCAATTGGTTGCCTGGAAACCCACAATGCACTTTGACGTCACTACTCTGGATGACGTCAAGGCAGACACCAAACAAACTCGAAAGAGAAAATCACGCTGGCCTTGCGATGCTCGTGAGATACACGCGCGCTTCGTACGTGACGAGATTATAAACCTCACGGCTCGGCGCTTCGCGAGGAATGAAAGTTTACACCACTCGACCGACCAACCAACCAACCGACCAACCTGGAGTGCTTCCTATAACCTCGTGAATAGATTTACGAGTTAAAAATTGGTGGCGAGTGACTGTTTTTAGGGTAGCCTTTTTGTACGTACTGTTTCCGCTTGGTAATGGCTACATGGAAGCCTATGAATGTAACCTAGTGCTTGTACGTTACAGAAGGACTTATATGATAAAGACAGTTAGGAAATTGAAATATTATAGTTAAGATTCTCGGTGCTCTGAGTAATTCTAAAAGTGGTAAAACTTTTGCTTAGCTGCATACACTTCATTAACAGTAAGTGTCTATTTGATTCCAACGTATTATGCTTCCTCTCTCACCCTCCTCTATCAGTCCACCTCCCCCCCCAAATAAACTGCAGGTAAAGTAACACTTATACGCAAACCCACTCGATTATGACTCCCTGCGACCGTAGGAACTGGTTTTGAGGACTTATTGAGAGACCGAACGCCCCGCCGAACGCTTGACTCCAGGTTCAGCAGAATATTATAGGGAATCTCTCGCGCGCGAAGCGCGCGCAGCGGAGTACCATGGGTAAGAATTAAGGTAATCTACCCATCCGAGAAAACTTGGTAATCACGTGACCGTACGCTCGACCGTCCGTCCGCACCACAGGCATACCAATGTTAAATAACTCAGTCAACAGGTATGGCAGCCCAAACGCAACTCGAGGTTATTTTGGCGGGAAATCGCATAGCCACCTGCGTCTTGTAAAGCAGAGGCAGCTAAAGAGTTAATAAAGACGAAACCGGAAAGCGGAAATTGTTTCTGTATCCGTGTTTTCTAAAGTATTAAGCTTAGATTAATTGTCATGTCCACAAATTTGGAATATAGAGCAACATAAAGACAGAGAAAAAGAGAGAAAGCGGCAGGCCAGCGAAACTCAACGAGAAAAAGGGCGACAGAGATCTAGAGCGAGAGATAAAAAACAAAGGAGACATTTTTTGTTGGAAAAACAACATGAAAATTTTGTAGCGGCGGTGACAAAATGAGAAATGCTAGCGGCCACCAATGCAAGGAGAAAATGAGAGCAGTGAAAAAAAGGTGAACGAGAACACGTACGACATTTCCTCCCTAAAAAGTTTCTGGAAGTTTCACGTTGTAGTCGTGCAAAACAATGGCAAAGAAATGTACAAAAAAAGTGTGCTGCACGTGCAAAGTTGCTTTTTTGCTAATTAGACCTTTTGTTGTTTTTCACCGTTCTAAGGCGTTGTCTTCGCCGCTTAGCATTACATGATTTTATACTTTGTTTGAACAAACTATAAATATTATCGAGAGCTTTGCTCTTAGCCCTGGCTAAATCTATATATTATCTATCGTAAATTTAGTCCCTGTAACCCGGGCCCTTTTAGTAACCTCTGCCGTCCTTGTTTGTTGCTAGTTTTGTTGCAACAGGTCTACTTTTAGTTAATTGCTTAAGCCAAAATTTGTTCGGATGTAAGAACTGAAGTATGCGCAGACGATTGTTTTCTTATTATCCGGGGTATTCACTCCTGTACGATGATATCACGCAAAACGCACGAGAACAAGATTGAGATTCCAGAGTGTAGGCAGATTACTAACTACCCTGGGTTCCAGAGAATACTTTTTCTCATCGATACTGATCGTTCGCGTCAACGAGATGCGAGGCGCCGAGAGAAAAAAAGCCGTCTCGGGAGCCTTATCAAACCGCAAGCACGGTTTATTTCGTATTAGGTATTTTGAGAACGGACCTCTGGAGCCAGGGTAATTATAAAGGAGGTGAGTGTTTAGTTAATTGATATATTTATTTTCTCGATGTCTGTATTTGCTTGGGGAAGTAGTTTTAGTGGTGAATCTCGAGGACGACGAGAGATCTATGTGTGTTTGGCTGCTCCTTTTAGGCGCGAAGATGTCGATCAAATCCTCCTTCTGTGCATTTAAGAGAAGTGCCGGATGTGCCAGGCAAAAATTCTTCTGTTCGGAGACAACTGCCGACTCTAGCTTGCTGGTCTGGGAGAAAAGTGGGAAAGTTACGAAGCAAACCATCTTTGCATAAGCGAGTTCGGTATCACATGCAGTTGATTAAAGTATTCTTTGCCTGCTGAGGCTTTAAATTTGATCGTTGTGTCAAAGTCTCTGTCCTTTGCTGTTGAGGTAAATATCTAATTCTGCAGCTGATAATTTGACCATGAGTTACATTTGTCCGTTGAGGCGAAAGAAAAGCTTGGAACTATATGGATTCAAAATGTTTATCAACTGTAAAATTATTAGACTATCGCGGTGCCAAGCGTAGGCTACCGTCGAGTTCAATTGTTTTTAAACTTTAAGTCAAAAGAAAACTTCTCGAGCACCACATCAAACCCGCGTTCGATACCTTCGCACCTCCATTTGCGAATCCGCAAAAATATTGACATAGTAGAGCAGCCAAACACAAAAATATCGTGTCTTCCTCGGGATTCGTTACTTGATCGTTCATGAAATCGAAGAAATTATTTCCATGATCAAATAAAGATATCTAAAAAAATATAAAAAAGCAATTACTACAAAATCAGGCGTTAAAAAAATCATCTGCTTGCACACTGGAAATTTACTCGAGGCGCTCTCCTCTTTTGTTGATCTCAAATACACGGAAATAGCATATTTTTCTTTTAAAAGTCTATTGACCACCCTAATTCTCACGGGTCATTTTCATTTTCTTCACTTTATTTATTTTCAAACTGTATTCTCCATATTTTCGTCCAGCTTTGACGCCAGCACTTATTTTCAAATTGAAACTCCTGAAGTAACCACTGATTTTGTGTAAGGTGGAACTGAGATATGTACTTGTGCTTTTCTCTGTGCTTTAATTTTATTAGGATGAGAGGTGTGGAAGTGGAACTGGCAAATTGAAAGGAAAGCAAGTCTTTATATGTAAGAGAAATTATGCAAGTTTTGTTGATATTGAAACGGTTATACCAGAGAAAGACTTTGATCAAGATCCTGAGAAATCTACAAGATCACCAGATAGAGGTGAAATGATGCCAAGATCGATGGGTTATGATCCTGGTAGACCTTCAGGTAGGATAGTGGAGTATTTTTAAAAGATCCAGACTCCGCCTCTCTCTAAAGGGGTTTGTTGGTTTGAATCCTCATCTCGCTGCAAATTCCAAGGATTTCCCACGTACTATTTCGCCTTAAATTAATTTCCATCTGTTTTTAGAAACAAACAATGAACAACTTATTATCATGGTCAAAATGCAGTTCAGGAGGCCATCAATTATTGCCTGCTTGATTTACGGGGGTTCCAGACGATCTCAGTTGAATATAATGTTGTTTGAACAAGATATACTGACATCTTATTAACCAAACGCCGGAACCGTCCTGGGAGGAAATGGGCCTAAGGCCTGAAAGCACAAACCGAGCGCAGCGTAGTTCGTACAAGAATGAAAAAGGGCCTATATTTTTCAAGTACGGTCCCGAGCGAGCATAGTTAATAGTAGAGAATTACATGACTGAAAAAAAACATTTTAATAAGTTATTTTTACACGTTAGCAATTCACTGAGTGTCGAAAAGGTAAAGAATATTATGATTTATTCAAAATATTTCGCCTTTTCTGACCGGTTCAAAGCCTCCGGCTAATTCTTCATAGCCAATCAGTGCTGACCAAATTTGGAAAATGCGAGCAATATACAGTGGATTTTATGGTGTAGTTGTTTGGAAACGAGGTTCATTGATGGTATATTTGCTTGTAAACGAGGCTGCTTGAGCAATAGACCATCGATCAATCTCGTTTCCAGGTGCGGTCGTCTAGCTGTTTATTCACGAGTAGACTGAAAAAAATGGCGTTCACGGCTATTCGAAGACGAAATAAGTGAGCTGTTACATGATTATCAGAGTTCAAAAGTTCCTATGCCTACAGAGCAGCGACGCATCTGACACTACATCTCTTGTCCATCTTCCAATCTCGAGTTTGACTAATTGTCGTGGGTCGTGGGTACAAGTCGTGGGTCCTGGGTGTGGGCGTGGATAATGATTACAAATTACTAATAATTAACAACATTACTGATTTTTATTAAATATTTTAATATTTATTAAAAACGCGCACTCGTGGAATAATTGTGTTATTAAAATATCGAGAATTCTTCCCGACTTTATTTGTAAAGACGACCGATTTTCAGCTTGTTTTTAATTTTGAGCAGACGCGTACAGTTACCATATTTGGAGAGCATGAGCTCATACCATGATGGCTAAACCAATCAGAGCTATAGAATTGTGTTATCCAATGATTCAGTTTTTAATAATTTACAATACTACAATTTTTTGTTTTTAAAATACTCGATAGCTAATATAACATAGCATAACGAACATAACACTGGATCACAAGGCTGCGAAGTGTACGACCTGTAAACGGCTTTCTGGTAAGTTTCAGGTCTTTATAACACGACAGTGACCAAAAAACCGCTCTTCAAAACGCGTTTTTCGGGAAAATCTCCAGGAGCGAATGGTTAAGACTGGCAACTAACTTTTTGCAACAAGTTATCCACACATCGGCTTTTTATTTTTTACTGTTTCCGGCTACCCTAATGAAGTAATCGGTTCTTTGTCGTTTGATTGACGTCGACGAACACTTTTTATTTTTACCTCCCCGGGGGAAGATGCTTTAAATTCTGACGTTATTTAACCAGTACTAGGAACAAAAGTGATTTGCTATCTTGTAGAGCAAGCTTTCGGGGCAAGGGGACAGCAAAGGCGGGGGGGAGGGGGGAGTCAATCGCTGCAGACCCACTCGGCCGACTTCTTTTGTTACACTCTTGCCTGCGCAGGTTATTTTTTTGGTTATTTTTTATAGGGCACGCGTCCTCGAAATTTCTCCCTTCTCTCTAGCAAAAACTGTCGCCTTCTACGCTATTGCAGATCATGCAACCCTTGATGTTTGCTTGCTAGTATGGGTTAAATCATTCTCCTTTTTATTTTTTCAGTGTGAAATACCTTTCAGTACTCGGAGCTGATTTTTTTTATATTGTTGTCCTAGTTCGCTATTTACAAGAGTGGCCGAGGATTTGAACTTGTGATAAACGCGGACAAATCCAGCAATTGGTGAAACCGGGGCTTGAACCCGTGACCGCCGGAATGGGGAGGAACATTGGGTGACGATCCCAGTGATGGCATGTGCTAAAACCCAAACGGTAGATTCTGGATGATAGACGATGGATGGTAGACTATGGTTGTTTACTATTTACATGGCAAAGCACTCGGTTTATGTTTGGGTAAATGTAATTATTAAAATGTCCTAATGGTGGCGGTATTGATTTTCGCGCAAAAAAGCAAACTAAAAGAATTGTTCAAACATAAATTGCACCATGAATGGAGTTACCGTAACTCCATTCATAGTGCAATTTATGTTTGAGGGGTTATTCAATAGAACCAAAAAGTCGACTAAATCAATGAATTCACGCCGAAACACACCGAAATACATCGGAGATCAAAAGGTAAAATCATTATATAAAAAGTTTTATCGTTTGCAGACCTCAGTATTTTATTCTCATACAACGTCTCAACGATCGCTGGTAAACGCGATACCGACTCGCCCTTGCGAAATGAGTGCTTAAGAGTCCACTAAATTAATAAATTCACACAGAAATACATCAAATATAAATCTTCTTTATTTGGCTTAATGATCAAAAGGTAAACTATAACGATATTTATCGTTCGCAGACCTCAGTACTTCATTTCTCATACATCATCTGGAAGATCGCTTGTCACGCGATACCGACTAGCTCGCATTTACTCTCGTAACGTGAGCTTGGGATGCCTATGCTAAAACTTTCCTCTCGCGAATGATCCCCCTACTAGGCAGGCTAAAATTGCACTTAGTATTGTAAAAAGTTTTCTATATTTTAGAAATGACGGTTGCCATTGTCACGCGAGACATAGGCACAGAACTCATAGTTTCATTTAAAAATGACGACTGACTCTAAGCAGCCAGAAAACAAGATGTCGTGTGTTGCCTGAAGATCAGGAATGAAGTAGCCTGCGAAAACATCCGTTTCTCCTCGCTCTTCGCCGCTAGGGACGTTTCGCACGGAGGAACGCCTGCGACTCAGCGACAGAAATTCTATACTGATGACGTAAAGTCTGTACGGAATCCGGTGAGAAGCGCTGATTGGTCGACGGAGTAGTTACATTGTTTTAGCTATTGTTTGCAAATGACAGACAAAAGGCCACAAAGGTCAAATGTAAACGCGAAGAATCTCTAACAAAACAGTCAATATTTGTGGAATATAGTCTTCTCTAGAAGAAGCTTTTGAGTTTTGCTGGAGTTCATTGGCAGGTAAGCACAACACTTTACCAAAATCGACCAGAAGACACGTAAATTTGACAAATTTATATTTGGAACCCCATGACTACCGGATTTATTATGTAAACATTGATTTCTGTCGCTGAGTCGCAGACGTTCCTCCGTGCGAAACGTCCCTGGCGGCGAAGAGCGAGGAGAAACGGATGTTTTCGCAGGCTAGGAATAAAGCTGTTGTATCTTTTCACGAGTTGTTGTGACTCTACATGAGGCTTGCCTCATGTGTCGATCTTCAGTTGTTCTCATCTGATGTTAAGCAGATTGACTGGACAGTCTTTGACTTCTTATTTCGCGGACCGCTGGGTGTTTTATTTATGACGCCGATACAAACCATTTTCCGATCTACAGTTGCCGAAAATTGAAGCGTGTGCGAAAAATGAATATTATATGTATTTAAAGTAAAAGAGAGATTCCCCCATATTCAGGATAAATTGTTCATGAACATGATTAAATTTGGTAAATCACGGTTATGTAGTCTATCGTCAATCGTCCAGAGTCTATCGTCTGGCTTTAGCACATGCCCCAAGGGGGCGGCTGGGTAGGGATACTAGAATAGATTTAGACACACTATCATTCTGTTTCTTGCAAGGTTCTGGGATGTGTTGGGATGCTAATGTTCAGAGGTTCTTAATGCGTATTTTACAGGTCGCGCATGCGTGAAGATAGTGAAAAGAACTCCTTCATTTGACTCAGATGATCACAATGTTATCGTAGCCGCTGGTGAAAGTAGCCAGACTGATTGTGCAGCATTCATAGAGCAACAGAAAAAACTTCTACTTGAGTACGAGAGATCAGTCTCCGTACCTACAGAGGGAAAGTATTCTCTTGGGTTCCTAGATTTAAACATAATTTCGTTATTCTTCCCAGCCCTCACTTCGTGAACTAGGGAAGCTTAAAAGCTTCGGTTGTCTGGCGTAATACTGTCGCCTGTCTTCATTATGAGCAGGAAAACATCGATGCTTTTTTGCCATTCTCTTTAATGAAAACGCGGTTCGTCTGAGGTTCGCGAGTGCACCGCTCGATTCCAGACAAAAAGTGTTGTCCATAGGTTACGCAATTTTCAAATTTGTTCCGATTTGTTGTCTCCAAATCCCTATCATAATGACTAGCCCGAGTTCGCAGTCAATTTGACTGTCTCGCTTGTTTTGCTTTTTGTTGTTATTCACCTGAATTTTTTGAATCCCCACAGCAATCTTACGAGTTTCAACGCAAATTATTTTAGCGTTTTCTCTACTAAACTTTCTTTCCATACCTTTGAACGTACTCCTCTCTATTGACAATATTGAATGATTAAATTTTGTTTTTGGAAACCTTACAGAAATAATTCAAGACTCAAGCGAAGCAAACGAACAAGCTTCATTATCAGCCGGAAAATTTCATGGAGAAGACTTGCCAAGGCCGTCAAGAGAGATGCAGCAGCACAATGAAAAGTTGCAAAAGGAATTACGAGAGTTACAGGAAAGTGAAGAAATATCACAAAGGCAGTTGAGAGAGATGCAACAACGCGAAGAAAATTCACAAAGGCAGTTGAGAGAGATGCAACAACGTGAAGAAAATTTACAAAGGCAGTTGAGTGAGATGCACCAACGCGAAGAAAATTCACAAAGGCAGTTGAGAGAGATGCAGCAACGTGAGGAAAATTCACAAATGCAGTTGAGAGAGATGCAACAACGTGAAGAAAATTCACAAAGGCAGTTGAGAGAGATGCAACAACGTGAAGAAAATTCACAAAGAGAGATGCAACAAAGTATAGAAAATTCACAAAGGCAGTTGAGGGAGATGCAACAACGCGAAGAAAACTCACAAAGTCAGTTAGGAGAAGTGCAGCAACGAGAAGAAAATTTGCATAGGCAGTTAAGGGAGATCACGCAACAACGGGAAAATTCCCAAGAACAAGTTTCCTCGTTAGAAAGACAGCTGAGAGAAAAAGACCAGGAAATAAGTGAGCTAGAGTTAAGTCTCTCGCTGGCCCAGCGAAGAATAAGTGAACAACGACGACAGGAAAGGTGTGACTGGGTCATTTCCCGGGATGAAATTCAAATTTCAGAGAATTGCCTAGGAAGGGGAGGCTGGGGAAGTGTCAATGAAGGTACTTACTGTGGCTGTACTGTAGCAGTGAAGCAGATCCATGACATGATTCTGTCCCCTCACAATAGGCTTTTATTTGAAAGAGAAATGAATATTGCTTCGGCTTGTCGCCATCCCTGTCTGCTACAGTTTATCGGCGCCACAAATGACGAAGGAAGTCCGCTCTTTGTTACCGAGCTCATGGAAATGAGTCTGCGAGCTTTGTTGGAAGAGCGGCAACTTTCCGAAACAGAATTGCAAGTTATTTCTCTTGATGTAGCTCGCGCGCTGAACTATCTTCATCAGAAGAAGCCATCACCAATTATTCATCGGGATGTCAGCAGCGCTAATGTGTTGCTATGGCAACAGGGTGACCAACGGAGAGGCAAAGTGTCAGATTATGGCACTGCTAATTTCATTCAGCAGACCATGACAGTGGCTCCTGGAGCTGCCATTTACTGCGCGCCTGAAGCACATACATCAAACCAAACAGTCAAGGTTGGTCGTCATCATCGATTTCAGGGCCCAGTTTTTAATAACTATATCACAGATAGAGTGTGACTACTGTGTGTAACCTTTTTGCTGTAGCCTGCGTTGCAGACACTCTAAGCTGCCGGTATAGAGCGTCTTCGAATTAGTGCACAATATCATGGTTCAAATCACGCAGAGTCGCAAAGACATGTGTAGGTGTTTTTGATTTGCTAGTTTCTTACGCAGTTTGTGATTTGTTCCGCAATTTGTTAAAAAGTGTTGACAGGCCAAACACCATTCAAAGCTCGTGACGACAGTGTGAACATGACCTTAGAGTTGGGTTGAACAACAGAGAGGGCCCTGTTGGGTAAAGGTCCGACAAGTGTCATAGCCTTGACGTAAGGCAAATGAAATGTCAACAACCGGCACAAGGATGAGTTGAATGTGTCTGATTCGGTCCATTTTGTTTTTCTTGAGATAAGTGAGTCTTTCGACTGAAGCCTGATATCCTCAGTTCCTGTAGTTTCGCCATTGGTGATCACCTTTTTTTTAGATGGGCAGTGCATCCGCAGCGATTAGGAGACACTGGAAAATCAAAGATTGTCCAGAACCAGTCGGAATGTGTTTACAAACACGTTCCGGCCGTCAAGGAATATTCTCTTAAAGTATTTTCTTGTTCAGAAAAATTGTTTCACGTCCGAACCGGTCTTTCACTGGTGTCAACGTTCTTTCCCAGTTTTCGGCATGCCTGCATTTAACCTGCCTATCAGAAACGCCCACACATATCCTTACGATTCTGCTGGATATCTGAACGAGCTTTTGTGCACTTATTCGCAGACGGCCTCAGTATACCGATGGTTTAGAAGATGTTTGGGCCGGTTACAACGAAGGCTGTTTTTCCGCTGTAGAGTATATGTAGTGTGTAACTGAGCTAGGTAGTCCTTTTACATTTATGGGTTTCTTCTGACGTAATCTTATTTGAGCATCAATGGAAAAATGCTGTATCAAAGGTGTATCAAAGCTGATAAACTATTGAACTGATCTTATCTCATTTTCGCCTACAGGATGACTGAATATGACAACCTTTGTAGCAACATCAGTTAATATTTTAATTTAAAACGTGTTGGAAGTGTTTACTTTTTTCTTCTTATTTTCCTTTAGCTCGATGTTTACAGCTTTGGTGTTCTATTGTGCGAAATGTGCATCCGGGAACTTCCAAATCCTGAAAATCGCGAAGAGCAAGTTTTGCTGATGACGAGCCGCGTGTTGAGAGGCCTGGTACGGCGATGCCTACAGACAGACCCTGAAGCGAGACCAACCATGCAGGAGATAATCGATGAATTATCAAGAGTTGTGTAACGTCTATCAAGTATTCTGTGAAAACTTTCGCAATAGAATTGAATTGGTAATTTTTTCACTGCTCGAAGTCGTGTCTTATCGTTTATTGTGACAGTGTAGTTTACAGAAGCATTTAATACTAGAAGAAAATTACTCAGGTTAAAAACCAACAACTTTTTAGATATAGCGAGATCTTCTCTTCAAAAATTTAGTAATGATGCCCAAAAGTCATACAGCTGTATATTATATCCTTCTCATTTACCAACGTGGGTAATATGAAATGCTTGTTTTGGATTAGCCTTGTGAAAAAAACAAAAAAACAAAAAAAACAACGTTCATGACGTCCGGGAGAAGATCGCTAAGACGTCAGTTCTCTATCCTAAGCTTGCTCAGTTCTATATGATGGCTGCTACATAGGTATTTTTTTTTGGACTGAAAGACCTCTGAGAATTTTATTGTAAAACTAGTTTTACAAAAAAGAAATAGTTTTTTTTTTTTAAGGGCACCCACCGAGATTTTGTTCAAAACCACTTAAACATAGCAATGTTACACGTATTTTAGTATTTAAACGTTATGATATAGGAATATTTTTATCCCCTAGAAATGTTTCATCTGTTCGGATTTCCTAGCTGAAAGACTAGTGAAAATTATAGGGATAAGAACTTACCGTTTCGAAAATTTCAGCCAGAAAAAAGGCTCCCGAAAATTCTAGGTGACCTTTTTAGGGTAAAAATCCGTTAAAAATGGGCAATTATACCATTTCTCTAGATGTTCGAAAATCCTAGGAGAAGCAGGCAAGCAAGAAATTTAACAATAAATGTTCCGAAAATTCTAGATCTCAAATCGTCTTTCGAACAGATATTTTCCGAAAATTGACGTTGAGTGCCCCTGACTTATAAATATCTTTTTTACATTTATTCAGACGACCTTACTTTCTTCTGTGGAGGAAGAAGGTCATACACACAAAGTACAAAATACTAACTGAAGAGGCGTGTAGACATGGCGCTTGTTATAAGCATTGGAATATACAATTAAATACGTGTAGCAGTTCGAAGGTACGGAAAACTCGAAGTCGAGAAGTCATTTGTTATTGAGTTTCTTATGACAGTAGTGTAGTAAAAGCCATTTGATATTTGTAACTAAACTTTCCTATGTAATTAAAGCTGAGAAAGTAGACACGACGACTACGTGTTTCTTAATCTGTGAACGCCGGTCGCCGTTGCCGCGGGAAATACTTTGCGAGCGGAGGCGAACAGACGGATCATAGGAGGGTACCCCAAAACAATATTATTACATTTTTGAATATCCCTGGAGTTTCGTTTAGTGGCAAGATACAACGCGCGTTTGATTACTGCGCTTTTCACAAACATGCGAATTCTGAAGTTCAAAAGCCACATCATTTCACTCCTCACGGGAGATATGAACTCAATAAATTGACCTCGCTCCCAATGTGTGGCTTCATAGCTCAGTTGGTAGAGCAACGCACCGGTGACGCGGAGGTCACGGGTTCGAATCCCGTTGAAGCCCTGATTTTTTTCAGGCTTCTTCTTTCCAATTGCTTTAAAAATTGGAAAATTTACTGCGATGATCATTCTTCACTCTCATATATTTTATTCCCCGCCTTTTAATAAAACAGCTTCTTAGAATGGAAATAGAAGATGCGTGTTTTAAATACAAGGGGCAAAGGATTTGAAATAACTCAGGGGAGAGGATGAGCATCGTCTCGTAGCGGAGTAAACTTGTTGTTTATGACATCACTCAGTGTGTTCAGGACTGAACGCCAATATTTTGTGCTTCCGGGCTTGGAATAAAGAGAATGTTTGAGAATAGTATCTTTTAAAAAAACCAAACCTGGGATTTTCCCTATATTGGCCTATACTGGGAGGCTCCTCCGCAAAGGGTTACCTTTTTTAGGCTTTAGATACAGCTATTTCGAGAAAGGTTGTCGGATAAAGTGCACGCGACAACCCCAAAATGTATCGTGGGTGGACTTAAATTCACTCTTTTTCAAAGAAATTTGAAACAATCGCAGGAGAGGCCATGGACATATGTCTGCGAGTGCTAAAGGAAAGTAACAAAAGTAGGTTCGACAGCTACAGTGTCAGGAATAGTGTATTGATCATATCCCATAATACCTTTCAGGATTGTCGGGTACACATTTTTTCCGACAACCTTTCTCGAAATAGCTGTATAAGAAAGGGTAGTGAGTTCACTAGTTGAACTATATTAAAGAGTATAGGGAAATCTGTCATTTGGGTCTGTTAAAGGGCTCAATAGGGCTAATAGATGAATGATATGACTTTGAGATTTCGAGAAAACGTTCTGTTTTCGAGATAGCCTGTTCACAGACTCTCTATTTCCTCTGCAAAGTCCATCGAGAGCGGGTGATAAACTATAAACCGCAGGGGATTTATTGACCGCCACTGCAAGGGGGTACGAACGAAAAGAAAAATAAAACAACGTCTATGTACAGGCTATTTTTGAGATTGATTTCTATGTAAAAAAAAAAAAAAACAGAACATTTACAGCAGTCAAAAGGGATACAAAGTTCTAATCAAGGTATGTGGAAGTGGAACCATTTGCAACAGATAAAAGGTATACGAAAGGGGAACCTTTTTCGTGAAAAATGGTATATAAAAGGGTAAGGGGTTGGATTTTCTGGAGTTTTTTTTTTGTTTTCATTCTGGTCAGTGTATGAATTTTTTCAAGCGTTTTGGCCTGTATAAAATGTTTTGCTTTTCACATCCCTCTCCATCATTTATATTAATTGTTTTGACTGTCCGTTCCTAAAACAGCAAGCAACGGACCAGAAAATAACCTACGCTTAGCCAGTATTTTTCGTTTCGCTTGCGCCGTGGACCATTTTCGCCTGGGTGCTGAAGGCGAAACGAGCGAACTACAAAAGAAAAAATCTGCAAAAATGTGGAGCTGGTCCGACAGGTTAAAGAGAGAGTAGTAATCCCGGTGGCGACATCACAGTTATAAAAAATGAAAAGAGAAAACCGTGGCTGGGAAAATTCCCTGTCACATATTTTTATGTGCCGGGTTTACACTTTTTTTTTAAGTGTTTGCCTCTCCATTCAGTCACACAGAATTTCTCTATTTGCCTTTATTTGTCAGCGGCATAACTCTACTTGAGCAAAGAGCATCGTTTTCAAAGATTAAGCATTTTGAGGAAAATGAAAAACGAGACCTTGAATGTTCATTTTCTCTGAGTTGTCTTTCCACCGCATGGGAAATAAAAACAAACGAAAGAAAATAAAAAACACCTCAGAGCACAAATCCAGCCCATAAGTCCTTGCGGCAGGTGAGATTTTCAGTAGGAAGGCACTAGATAACGTCGACCTAAACCAGATGAGTCATCGATATGTCAGCGACGTCTTACAAAATGAACTAGACCTTAACTACCGGAAGGCTTTTGACTGAGATCTCCCCTTATGCGACTTGGTCAAGTACCCTCACCTGGATTGTGCTGGTGCTTACAATTCCTCTTGCATTTTGTTTTTAGCTTCTTTTCGTTTTAGTGCCTTGTTTCGATCCTGTCCATTTTGGCATTCCAGGATCTTTACACCAACAATTTGAAATGGAATACCATCAAACCTCAGACTGCAGCCTGCCGTTTCCTGCGAGTCAGCCCATTGAATTTTGTGATTTTTTGGCTTTTGAGTCTCTCCTTTCTAGCCTGGATTAAAGAATAACGATGGTCGACAAACGTGATTCTTAAACTGTAAACTCGTGGAAAATAAAAATGAGGACACTTGTACAAAATGCTTATCATTGTTGGAAAATCCTCCTGTCCTTTTAAATATCGTGAAACTGGTAGTAATGGCAATTTTATACACTTTAATAAGCTCCTCTGCTCTGTTTTCGTCCTCTACGTATCCCTAACAAGGATCGAAAGTGACTGAGAATAGAGATGCCCACGGTGTATGGGCTGTTTCTTCTCCCGCCATTGTCCTTCTCAGAGGACAATTCTCTCAGAAAATTTAAGATTTGGCGCCAAATGGTTTTTCAAATGTTGACACCTGATTGTTAAAGTAGAACTTTACTTATAATTTTCCGAACTTCTTAAACTTTCTAAGCTGAAAGTCGAAAAAGCTGAAATACAACTGTTTGAGACTCTAAGGACAGCAATAAACACACTCATGCTCGATTTATTTTATTCAGTTTTTTTTTAAACATTTTTTTTAATTTTTTTTTTTCAGAACCACTGCAGAGATCTGGTTAGGTTTCGGTCGATGTTAGATAGTATTTCGTGGCGTGTCGACACTAAATAACATCGGCCGAAACCAGCCTCAGCTAAGTTCCTCGGAACGACCATAAGCCACGTAATTCGGCGCAATACTGCTGAATCTATTGTAGATTTAACAGTTTTTAGTAATATAAACTGTTAATGTCCAAAATTGACCCTTTTTTTAACTCAAAGTAACATTCTCGCAGCGATCGATCAAATGAGCGGACGTCGGAGGGTATGATTCATTTTGTAAGACGCCGCTGACATATCGATGACTCATCTGGTTTAGGTCGATGTTATCTACTGCCAGGATGAGAGCCTGGGGACGAGGTGCTCTTGCAATGAACAAAATGGCCTCCTGGCTCAGTCATGAGGGCTCTACACAGATTTGTGTGGCCCGTGGAACCGTGTCATGGGGGAGTAAGGATAATGATGCGGCGGGAGAGCTTCAACTTTGGTATCATGAGAGGGATGACGATTACTGCCTTTATGCCAGCAAGACAGCGAGAGATAACATGGAGGTATGTAAAGTTATTGATGCTTTTAGTCTTCACTTCCAAACGCGCACTGACAAAATCAAAACGTTATTAACGAAGAAGTCAAAATTTCATTTCGTCTAGTACTGAAAACAAATAGTACCATGTGAGAGTACTGATAAAGGGGTTTCGTCCAGGGGCTCAAGAGTAAGAACTAAATGTTATGGATCCATGATTGACTCTGGGAGTGAAAGGGTTATAATAAATATATACAATTTAACAATTATATTGAACCCTTTTTATTAAAAAAAAAAAGAGAGATTATTTCTGTATTTATGCAGTCACTTTAATGTACCTGTTTTACATGTAGTTAATTTTTTATCTCATGTAATTTTTGGGTATGGTACAACTTAACTGTACGTGTATGAATATATGCTAATGAAGTTGAAACAAAAGAAAAATAAACATTATATTACCTGAGATAAAAAATTATAACTACAACATATCCCTTTATTTGTTATTCATACAATAAACACCCACTAATAAGAACAGGGGGTTCATTAAGGTTTTGAACAGGAGGGCAACTGAGTTTGACACCCGGGCAAAGAATTGGCAAGGCGCGGAGGGCCTTGCCCTCTAGGGGGGTCCGGGGGCATGCTTCCCCGGAAAATTGTGAAATTCTATAGTCGTAAGGATGTGTTTTCCTGCATTTTGAAGCTGCAGACAATGACTTTCAACAACCAAAAAAAGATAACTTTTCCAGACAATTTAATCATGATTTGATACCAATACCCACCACACAAATTGGACTTTTTGGTTCTCTTTTAATAGCTCTGCTCATAATAATCTTTACTCAAACTCACCGTCAGCATCTGAGCATCTTTAAAATTTCAATGACTAGACGGGAGGAGCACTGTTTATTGGCGTAAACCATAAGACGAATAAAAATCACGCTTCGCTTCGTTGAACATGATGATTAAGCCATTCAATATATACAGGCAAGTAAAAGGTTAAATCACAAAGAAGTCTACTCATCTCTTGGTCTTTTCTCTACTGGAGGCCCTTTGGTTGAAGCCGAAAAATAATACGCTATCGAACGCGTTCTTTTCTGGGCCGCCATGCTCACGTGCTCGCAACACTGATACATTTCAGGTGGTCGTTTATGAAGCACAGTTCTTTTCGCAATGTGTTGTGGGGCGATTCTTGTTTTTAACACACAAAGAACGAGGGGATTTCATGCCGCGTGGAAATTGCACGGTAAAGTATGTTTTACACTCGATAAGACTCATCAAGAAATGGGCACGATTGTAACTTAAAACTGTTTTTGATCGTTTCCTTGTATTAAAAAGAAGTTCTTTGAGATGTAAAGCAGCCGGGCAAAGTCGTGTTCACAGCCGGTCAATTTGCCCGGTGCCCGGCCCTTAATGAACCCCCTGAATTTGTTATTGTCTTTACCTCTATTAAACTGTCCCTTTGACAAGATGTGTCATACTAGTGCAAAAGCATACACTGTGTAGGATGTTTATTGGTCTTGTACAGCCTTACCAACCCCCAAAAGGCAAAAACTGTGAGATTCTGAACCTAGAGCTAGGAAAAGTAGAGCAGAGAATTGGGTTTAAAGCGGCGGGCCCTAAATTATGGAACAAAACAAGGATCGTGGTTAATTTTAATACTGAAAGATTACAACTAAACCACATTTTGGTACCTTAAGTATGGGTCAAAGATCCCAGTGAAATTGGCTGTGAATAGTTGTGTTTAGTTGTTATTTTACAGAAACTACTGCCACTATAAACAATGTAACTTAAATTATATTGTTATCTTTCCTTACCGTTTCAGTTTTCCAGGGAAATTTTTCCGGATTTTAACTCCCTTCTCAGTCATTCAGACAGGATATTGGCCAGTTGCATTCTCCTCGCGCGGATGAATCCTTGCAAATCGGCGGATTATTTCATCAAGGTCAGTTTCCGTATTGTAGTGGATATGAATCAAAGCGAGTCCAAACCATGATTTTCCATATTAACTTGGAAATTTTTATATTATTAAAAATATTAATTATGAAGAATCTGATAGATTTCCTTACACCTGAGGAAACCGGTGTGGATCCGTGGCTGAGGTATTACAGGAATTACACTATTAGTTGACAATTTTCTTTTGAAAAAGAAAAAACAAAACAAACAAAACAAAAAACAATTACCTGCGGAAAATAAATGAATTTGAGGAAAGTAGCCGGTTTGAATCAGCTTAAGAGAAAAATAGCGCCCATTTTTAATGGCTTGTTTTTTTTTTTCTACTCTTGTTTTACAATATCTCTTTACAGTTCTCTTCAGAGGCAATGAAATGATACCAAGCTATTCTATTCCAGTTACCCGACTATTCAGTGTTTCCTTTTATTTGTAATTCTAGCGAATATTTATTGACATTTTAGCTCTTTTTAGCTTTCTTGATATTTTCTATGAAACACTGTATTATTGTAATTTATAATTTTAAGATTTACTCTCGTTTCGACGTATTTTAAAATTAATTATCATTGTCCCTGGAAAGCCCTCTTAGTGTCAATTAAGTTTGTATTGTATTATAATGACTGCGAAGCAACTCGCAGAGCAAGGTTGCTGCAAGCATGCACTCATGAAAGGCCGAAAAATTAGCGCGAAACTGACGAACCGCTGTCGAGGGGAGAGTAGCAATTCTCCTAGGCACGCTTCATGCTAAGGAAACCTGGATAAGTTCCGACTGTTTGGGCCTTTAGCTCGTGTGCGCCTTTACTTTTTTACTTTTTTTAACGCGAGCATACGAATAAGCTTTCGGAAAGTAAAAATCATAGAAAATTTTCATATTTTTTTTTTTCAAACCCGATTAGTGCTAACACACATTGATGAAGGAGTCTGAAGAGTCCACACTCCTTTCCTTATTTCCTCTGACCTAGAAGTAGAAAGGGAAATCCAAGCTGCCACAAACGCATTTGGCGCCCTACTACCAAAATTCAAAATGTACAATGCGGCCGTGCTCCCGTCACCACTCAATTCATTTGAATGCTCGTCAAGAAGCTGAAAAAACCACTACTACTAAATTCTCGGCATAGATGGCAGGACGGAATTCCTGATCTAGAGGCCGGCTTAGGAGGTCGAGGGCTGACGTTGTTACTTTGGAAGCTCTCATCACTTCATATCACCTTTTCTCAGCTTCGCTGGGGAGAAAATTTCAACGGAATAGACTTTTTCAGTCCTCCAAGCTCAGTGTTTTATGGTCATCTGTGTCGGGAACGATGACACAAGAAGGCCAGATACTACGTTTTAAAAGATATGTTTAGAATGAGACATGAAAAAGGAAACATTAGAAAGACCAAGGTTTAGATCACTTCAAGTGGCTTCGTGCGTTGAAGGAGTCAATTGCCGCAATTAAAGGGAAGGGACGGAAGAATTACCGAAAGGCAAACTTAACGGAAGGAGACTTTGCTTAACTGTCTAGATAAACGTCATATGTGCACATTGTCAACCCCACTGTCGCTCTGTCGGGTCTGCCTAACAACCCGGCCTGTACAGGACAATCATCATCGGAGACCATGGACTCCCAATACACTTTGCTGATGTGAATGTTATACATGTAACTGATTTCAGTTGGTAATTACCAAATAATCTGAAAAAATGTTTCTAGAAATTAAATTTTAAGCTTAAAATTGATCGGGCGACGAAATGCTTTTTATCGAATCGACTGTATCAATACGTCTTGCATGAATTCTTTAGCATGCGATATCCTTGGGCGTACGTTTCCTAAAGTTGAAGTCTAACATACATTTGTGCTAGTAAAAATTATACAGTACTCTCTCAGCATTGCTGATCCTAGCAATTTGTAAGACGTGTGTCACATATGAACCTAGTAAATGGCTTATTACCCTTCCCATTAGTGTCTCTGACCTTGTCATTATACAGTACTCTTCATCATTGCTGATCCTAAGCAGTATGTAAGACGCGTGTCGCACATAAACCGTCGTTTAGTAGCAGTTATTGTTTATTCTTGGGTGTGTCCTCTGCTTTAAATCCTTTAAGTTACAGTTCGTTTTTTTTGTGTTGTTATTTAATTGTCATATACAAAGTAAACTTCTCTTCTATCGCTCTTGGCATGCAGTTTTGAGTAGTTGTTGTTCTTTTTTTTTATTCCCCTCAGCAACTATGGAGGATCTACGTGGAGCAAGCGTACAAAGACCTGCGGCTGGTTTAGTCTTCCCAAGGCCATCAAGGGAAATACGGCAGCACGAAGCAAATTTAGAGAGGCAGCTCAGAGAGATGCGGCAACGTGAAGAAAGCTTACAAAGCCAACTGAGGGAGACACAGCAACGTGAAGAAAACACACAAAGGCAGTTATGGGAGATGCAGCAAAACTCTCAAAGACAGTTAAGAGAGATGCAACAACGTGAGGAAAACTTACAAAGGCATTTGAGGGAGATGCAGCGAAACTCACAAAGTCAGATGAGGGAGACACAGCAACTTCAGGAAAACTTACAAAGTCAGCTTAGGGAGATGCGGCAGCGATTTGAAAACTCCCAAGAACGGGTTTCCACCTTAGAAACACAGCGGAGAGACAAAGACCAGGAAGTAAATGAGCTTGTGTTAAGTCTTTCGTTAGCCCAGCAAACAATAAGTGAACAGCAACAACAGGAATCATGCGATTGGGTCATTTCCCGTGATGAAATTCAAATGACCAATAAATGCCTTGGCAGGGGAGGCTGGGGAAGTGTTTATGAAGGCGTGTATTGTGGCTGTACTGTAGCCGTAAAGCAAATTCATGATCTGATTCTTTCCCCCCATAACATACGTCTTTTTGAGAGAGAAATGAATATTGCATCCAAGTGCCGCCATCCTCACTTGCTGCAGTTTATCGGCGCCACTATTGATGAGGAAACCCTCTGTTTGTGACGGAGCTGAAGGAAAAAAGTTTGCGAGCTCTGTTAGAACAGCGGCAACTCTCCGAGATAGAAATACGTGTCATTCTTCTGGATGTAGCCCGAGCAATCAACTACCTTCATCAGAAGAAACCAGGGCCCATCATTCACCGGGATGTGAGCAGTGCTAATGTGTTGCTATGGCGACAAGGTGACCAATGGAGAGGCAAAGTGTCAGATTATGGTACTGCTAATTTCATGCAGCAGACCATGACAGTGGCTCCTGGAGCTATGATTTACTGCGCACCTGAGGCATTTACATCAAACCAAACGGTCAAAGTGAGTTTTCTTGAATTTAGGGCTTTTCTGATTCAACACTGTTTCATCAACACGTTTCGTTCTTCACCTTGGTGTTAAAATTGGAAGCAGCAAATTGATGCTGATCTGTTTAGCTTTGTGTGAGCCAGACTAACTTTCCGTGCTCATTCCCTTGCTGCTTACTTCCCGTCCAAACAGTGGTAACGGTGATAGTTTTTACCTTCACCGTTTGACCTCAAACATTTATGGGTAATCTCGACTATTGATCGTTTTCCAGGAGTTTAGACTGTACGCAACGAAAACAAGCTGTAGACGTGTGGTTTTCTCATTAATTGTTCAGTTTTAAAATCGTACTGGAGACTTCTCATCTAAATCTGATAGAGTCAAACCTTTCCAAAACGACCGCCTTTAGGAGAGAGTAATGTCACTGCGTGGGAAAGTGGCCGTTAAGGGGTGGTAGGGTGTATAGTGACACCATGGAGGGGGGGTAAGGAAGTTTACAATATCTGTGTAAAGCATATCCTACGGCCTACAGCTTAATAAGATCACAATCAGACTATAATACTTACATTCAAGCCAGTTCAAGCGTAACCGCCGCCCCCCCCCATCCCCCATGATTCGATTAATGAACTTATTATTCGAAAATTGAATCCGTTGGTTTTTGTAGATTACAGATTCATCTCTGCATTCCTGCATGCTTAATGAGCAGTTAATTTACACGCGAAGGTACATGCAGTTACTAATTACTAGCGGCTCAGTTTTCTTGAATTGGTGTAAATGTCTTAAAAACAATTTTTTCCATTTAAAGATTTTTCAATGTGACCGAATACAGAGAGGTTATCGTTAAAAATTCAGGTTTAATTGCGCTTACAGGAATGCAGATTTGAAATTGATACTGGTTGTGTAGTTACAAAAAGAGGGAATGATCTAAAATGACCTAAAAATGTGCTACAACGGTATCTAAAATAAGTATTAAAAGATGTCTCAAATAACCTTAAATTATTAAACTAATACAGGCAATAGGAATGTAATTTCGCTGACCCGCGCATGTGGTTTCGAAAGAGTTCTGTTAAAATGTGTTTGTAACATGTTTCCTGAAGAATGCAACAAAGTTACGTTGACACACAACACAACTGGATTCGCATGACACGTAAGCCTCCTAGTCACGCGGCGGGGAGATGATGGCGCGTTAAAATGCCAGTTTGCCTAACAAATCAGTGCCATTAGATCTCACTGCGCACTTGTTCTACATCAATCAAAACTCCAAACGATCAGGTCCAATTTTAGCAGCTTACATATTCATGCCGAAATTTTATTTAGAGTCTGATCTCAGGAGTAATACAGTCGACAGGTAAACTCAAGATTTTTGCGCCATCAACTCTACTCCAATCAAAACTGCGTTGCTGGGCGAACTTTTTTCTTCGTGGCATCATCTCCGCACCGCGTGACAAGAAGACTTACATACGCGACACACTAATCCTGCTCTTTGTCAACGTAAAGTTTATATTGAGTTGTTTATTAGGAAACCTTCAAAGCTATAACTAAGAAGTAGGTGAGACCGAGAACTGTCCACAACTGATGAGCCTGAGCTTTCAGGAAGTTTCAATTGTTTCGAAACCACTTGCGAGGCCAGTAAAAAAAATAATTTAAAATTAAATTTAAAATGTGTGTGTCTTTCGTAGGTTGATGTTTATAGCTTTGGTGTTCTTCTTTGTGAAATGTGCGTCCGAGAACTTCTAGATCCTAGAAGGCGTGAACAGCAAGTTCTGCTCATGACGAACCATGTGTTAAGAGGCCTGTACGGCGATGCCTGAAGACAGATCCTGAAGCGAGACCAACCATGCAGAGGATAATCGATGAACTTTCATGATCTGTGTAACGTTCATCAAGTATTTTGTCAGAGTTTTGTTAAAACTTTCGTAGTTGATAGAGTTGAATCGCTAGAAATCTTTTGTGCGAAAATTCGTGTGTAATCGGTTATAGTGACAACGTAGTTTACCCAAGTGTTGTTAGAAAACAAATTACTCAGGCTGAAAACAGGTTTACAACTTATTTGCTTTTAATTTATTTTGTAAAAGCGATGTTCTTTTCTTATATTACACTCAGTGAAGTGTGGCTTTTTAACTTGATAGATCAAAGAGAAAGCGAGGTCTTCGATTCTCTTTAAAGTGTCAGTAATGGTGCCGAAAAGCCGTTTATATTTCTCGTTTACCGTCGTGGGAAATGGATTTCTTTAACCAGTATGTTTTGTTTTCCCAATGAATTTGGCCCTTTGTCTTTTCATAAAGTGTGCGTTCATAAGCACCTGAATAATATTAAATTTAAAAGAAAAAGTTATGTGGATTATTGGGTGCGGTCACACTGGCGATTTTACTCATGGGCAAATGGCTGTTGCCAATGTGGAAGCAACTTTTTGTGTGTAACCAATTTCCCTAACGTGGAATTTCCTCGGGAACATTTCCATGGATACGTCAAAAAGAGCAAAAGACAGTTCATGACAGTTCCCGAGTTACGTTCTATGGGTTAAATAAAACCCAAAGCGGCACCAAACAGTAGAAAATGCAATGTTCTTGGCGCCAAGGCCTACTCGTACTTCGAAACTCGGCAGGATTTTGAGCGCCGCTGTGAATTTTTTTGACGTAATTCAAAAGCGCCTTGAAACACTCAAAAGTATTCTTTACATCAGTGTTCAAGAATTCTTTCCTTATGAAGTCGTTGACACTTTTTTTGTAAATTAAGCCCGTACTTTTGATTGTTGAGCGACAATTTGCCTTTGTTTACTACGACGTTTTCCCGCGATACCATCTTCAAGTTTTTTCTTCCCCCTTGGCGAATTTATCGCTGTGAACTGCAAACATGAAAACGATCAAAATCCAGAGTGAACCCAACCCAAGCTAGCTATTTCCCCATTTGAAGCCTTGGAGAAGACGTCTAGTGTGACCGCACCTACTGTCACATGACCTACATTGAGAAAACAAAGCATAGTACAAGTGAAAGAGGTTTATAGCAAATGCTTGCTTGGGATTAACCTTGTTAATAGAGGTCAGGCTTGGCTGAAGATCGCTGAGACGTCAGGCTATATCCTTAAGCCCGTTAGGTATTTTTTAATCAGTTTCCTACCCAAAAGGTAACTTACCTATAAAATAGAATTTTTCCGTTATTCATAGTAAACTACTTATTAACCAGGTCACACGCGTGAAATAGACAATGTTACTGAAATAGACATTATTGAGTGAAGACACAAGTATATATATAATGGCTTTTGAAACGTGTTAGGATATACAATTAAACATGCGTATCAGTAAGCAATTGTAATAAGAGTTTCCTATCCAATAGGTTATTTTAAAAAAGTCGATTGCAAATCAGTTCAGTTGTGACTTACACGTAGAATAGACAATATTAATTAAAGAAAACGGGTAGATTGGCCACTTATATGATATACTATAAGTGTTTCCTATTCAACAGGTAACTCGACTTATATAATAGGATTTTACCCAAATTCATGTTTCTCATATAAAGTGGGTCATACACTTGAAATAGACAATATTGAATAAAAGAAACGAGTACGAGTAGTTAACTCGCTTATTGCAAGTCTTAAGGGATATTCAATAAATATACAACTATGGCGGCTTTTGAAGCAGAGGCAGAGGCGATTTGTCACTTGTTGAGACTGGACTCGATTATGTTTCTTGTCTCGTCGCCGCAATGCATTTACGGCCAATAATTCTGACGAAAACAGTAACGTGTAATGTACAGCTCTGCACAGCTGCTAAACACATCGTTTACGCTTCGTTAGTGTGGCCATGCATTTCTTCGAAACTGAAGGGTGTGAGTTAGATGATTTATATCAAGACACTTGAAATTAAACCAGAGCATTCAGTTTGGGGGTGAACCAAGCGCTAGGAGCTTAGAAGTTTCAATCTATTCACAGTGCCGACTGCAGTTTGAAGAGAGAAATGTGCATTTTCATCGTGTTTGTTCAAAACAATGCCGTGTGGTTTAAGATTTGACGAAAGGGATCAAGTTTTATTTAAAAAGAAGTATGTTGCCATGTTTTGGCTCTTGGATTCATAAAGGTGAAATTGCTCCCCTTCAAGACCTTCAAGAGGGTGGGAAATCACGGAAAAAGAGCTTTACACGTGAGAATTCTTTTGCAAATTAAATGTACCGAACATCTAAACTTACGTTTGTTCCAATGAATGGCGCTCGGTTTAGGTCGAAGTGGAGAGCTCATGCGTCGACAAAAAAGGGAAACGGTGAAAATGGTAGGGGTATTTTACTGACAATACCAACTGAACGATGTTTAGCAAGTTACTCATCCAGCGCTCAATCAGTTAAACAATCGGCCATGTAAGGGTATCCGCATTCCGGAGTCCTGTGAAAGTTTTGCCTGTGGAATCCGGAATCCGAGAAAAATTTTTTTTATGAAATGAGGAATCTTGGTCTTTGGAATCTGGAATACAGATCAAGGAATCCAGAATCCAAGTTCCACGGACAAAGACTGGACCTGGAATCCAGAATCCCAAACTGTCTTGGATTCCCTTACATTAGGCGATAGGACTTTACTGACACTGTTTGCTAGGCCCGGGTCAAATGCGGTACTTCACATCAGTTTAACCTAATGCTTATGAGAAAAGTGTATTCTGACAGCGCTAGAGTAGTAGAAACTGGAATCATGTGTAAATACGGTGCTAAGTGTTTCGTTTCGGACTCATTTCTGATTAATAGTGGTTGATGAAATGCCTAAGAAAGCTTTTAACCTGACAGCAGCAGGGAGAAGGTATTGTACAGTACCGCAAGTGATCCCCAACCGCAAATGATCCCGAGACCGCAAATGATCCCCAAAATGGACCGCAAATGATCCTCGACCGCAAGTGATCCCCAAAGTCGACCGCAAATGATCCCGTGAAAAATTGAGGGAATAGATTGGATCTTACGGCACTGATTACAAAAAAGGACTGATTATAAAAAGGAACCTTTTTCTCTTGCCTTCTAGAGAAAAAGGAATGGAGGACGCCAGATCTCAGGTCAAATTTTACAAGGCGAAAAAAAAAATGGAATAAATATGAAAATGATATGGTTTCAAGAATGTTTCATCGGTCTAAAAAAAATCCTTAATTTTGTATTAAATTATTTTTTAACATAACAAGCGCTTAATTGACTTTAGTGATCTTTTTGGAAGTGTCCAATTAATTTTCAGATATTTAATTATGATTATTCTCTGAAGTGTTAATTCTACGTGATAAACAGCAAGACATTTGTTAGTAACCCAAGTGCTTGTTACGAAACAAGACATGATTTAAAATAAACAAACGTCAAAATGCCCCCGAACTTATCTGATGTCCACAGGTTTCGGTTTATTTCGAAATAGCAACTTGCTTACTGAACAGCTCATAAACATGTTGCGGATAGTTATATTGACGCTTATATGTATATTCATTGGTTGTGCCTTTGCTGGAGACAGTCACCAGGAATCTAAACCTGGTAATGAAAAACACAAAAGCAAGGTAAGCGGTAGTTGTGTTTATTTTTACTTATCCCAGCCAGAAAGAATGTCAACATTCGGATTACGGTAAGCACGTGGCTAGGTATTCCATTTAACAAGTATTTGGAGACTGACGGGACCATAGTAATACACAAAAAGTGCTATTGTTATAACAGGAATAGTGTTCCAGAGCCTCTAGATTTTCTGCTCCCAGACTCTCTACTCGGGCTATCGTTCGCCCTCGGCGATGGCAGATCTTTCCTATGTCACCTCAATACTAAGCTTTGAAGACGCACCTAGCTTAGTAGGATGCTTCATATAAATTGCACATGCAGTTGGCGTCTCATGTAAACAAGTTACTGGCCCCATTAATATTTCAACCAAACAAAACTGGCCCCATTAATATTTCAACCAAACAAAACTTCTAAAAACTAAAAAAAAAACGCCAGTGTAAATTTGGAAAGAAAAAATCCCTCCTTTATTCAGTTTTCAAAAGAGTTGACGAATATCATATTTTTCGTTTGTTATCAGCCTCAACGAAAAAATGTCCCAATAGACGATGACGTATACGATGCTTTGCTGTTGGTCTTAAGTGGAGCTAGAAGGTTCCAGGATTGGCCTAAAACAGATGATCCAAGTTTGAGACAACGGGTTTACAGAAAATGGAAAAGTGGTTTTTACGAAATTAGAGACGTACATGATCCCATGGCAGGGAAAACTTGCCAACGAATTGTACACAAGGCCTCAAATTGTATTGTGGTAAAAAAATCGGAGGTGTCAAAAATCGTAGATTGTGCTTATCAAGAAACGAAAGGTGATGGTGCTGTAAAGCTCAAGATCCATACATCTTACCAATATACCGGAATATCTCGAAGAATAATTCAAGCAAACCTGAATTCCATGAAACAGAATCAGAAGGTCCGCCCTCTTTTCCAGAATAAAGCTCCTCTGAGACCAATTAAGGCCTCCAAAGTGCAGGAGAGGCATCAGGTAGATCTGGTGAGCATGGCCAGCATGCCAGTAACGATAGATGGTGAAACATTCAAGTACATTAGGTCAGTGATAGACATTTTTAGTCGGTTTGTGTTTTTACGTCCTCTTCAAACTAAGGAGTCCGCTGAAGTGGCTGAACATCTTTTAGAAATTTACAATGAGCACGGTCCCCCTGAAATTCTCCAGAGTGACCAAGGAACAGAGTTCAAGGGTGTAGTTAAGTTGGTTTGTGAATCCCTCAATGTTCGTATTATCAAAAGCTCAGCTTACAGTGCGCAAACCCAGGGAAAAGATGAACGCTCCCATAGAACGTGGAAAGAGAAAGTTAAGTTTGACATAGTAAGTGGCGATGAGTTAAACTGGGTACAATATTTATCTGAATATCAGAAGTTGTATAATGAATCTCCACACAGCTCACTGGGATTTATTACACCATTTGAAGTGTACTTTGGCCGGCCCCCAAACAGACTTAAAAACAAACTTTTTCTTGATGAAGGAATGGATTTTGAAGTTCAAGACGAAAATGAGGAAGCATTTCCACGGGTAGACGAAATTCTCAGAGAGGAAGACCTGTGTGAATTAGAAAACAATAGATTTTTGTTGAGACAGAAGGCTTTAAACGCTTCTAACAATGCGGCGCAAAAAATGGTCAAGAGGGAGTTAAAGCGACATCCTCCTTCACTGTATGTCATAGGAGAGACTGTTTTAGTTAGAATTCCCACTTCCAAAAAAACCGTCAAAGGCAAAAAGAAATCTTTGAAGTCTACCTGCGAGAGGCGTGTCGTGGACATGGACCATGCACTGCACAGGTACAAAATTCAGTACACAGATCCAGTCACCTTAAAAGGAAAAAAAAATTGGTTCAAAGTTAACGACATTACGTCCCTTACAAAGGAGGAAGAAAATAAGAGACAAGAAAAAGCTAGAGAAAAGAGCTTTGACAAAAAGCGAAAATGCTCTGTCGGAGGGTCTGATAAAGAAAGAGAATCTTCCAAAGCGACGAAGTGTAATGGTTCTAATGTAACCTGTCCAAGTCTGTTGGATGCTAGTATAGATCAAATAATTTCCTCCGAAAAATTGAATGGGGATACGGTAAACTTATACTTTGACTTCTTAGGAGAGAAGCTGTTCTGCGAGAACGAAAATATTTGCCTGGGAAGCTCCTATTTTTATCCTTCTTTGCAGCGACAAGATAACAGAGGAACATATAGCAAATATATCGGAAAAAAGTCACTTTGGGAGTACGAAAACTTGATATTACCGGTTCATTTAGCCGATGAAAGGCACTGGATTCTTCTTTTAATCAGTGTCGTTAATTTGTGCATTTACATATACGACTCCGCTTACTGTTCTCAAGACACCTACAAAACTGTTTTCGGGACCATAAAAACCAAGTTTATCAGGTAGGAGCTTCAACACTTAAAGTCAGAAGATAGGGCACTCTTCCAGGAAGAAAACTGGGATGAAGAAATACCTAATTGTCCAAAACAAAAAAACCAAGAGGACTGTGGTGTGTTTACTTGCCTTTTCGCTAAACATCTGATTCTTTCAAACAACTTGGATGAAATAGAGCTTGACGATACGGATCCGCGAGGCGAAATGACTAATGATTTGCTGGCCTTGGCAACACCTGGAAACAAAGTTGCTTATCTCCCTCTCCCTAAAAATCTGCAATCATTCATCAGCAATGATCTCCATACCTCAATCCCCACCGAGGATCAGAAGGTTGCACTAGATCAAGAAGTTGCTAGTGCCGGATTAACTTATCGCCAGCCTCCCACACCTAAGGACGGCAACTGCTTGTTTCACGCAATGAGTGACCAGCTTACTAGAGTGGGAAGGCTCCCTCAAACACCATCAAAGCTTCGCTCAGATCTAGTGCGCTATCTTAAAAGTAATTCTACAACCCCAGATGGTGTTCACTTTCGGGAATTCATCAACCATGGTGGTTGGGACACCTACCTGCGAAGGATGTCAAGGGATGGCGAGTGGGGCGATTGGATTGCTTTGTGGGGGCTGGTGAACATGCTTAACCTTCCTGTAGCTTTGGTTTCCAGCTTAGGGGGAGGGAGGATTACAAATTATCAATCCAGCCACAAATGGAGATGAAGGAGGGGACATTACAGTTATGGCCTTGCTTGGACATGAAGCAGAAGTTCATTACCATAGCCTGGAAGCCCTTCAGGACCCTGTTACGGAGATGAAAGTTAAATACGGAGAGGGAAAAGTCACCGAGGAGATCTGCCCAAAGTGTGAGAAAAAGTTTGCGTGCTATTCCCAAGGAGTATTTGAAGGGTTAAATGGCATGTTGCAAGTATACTCCGACGACAGCTTCTTTTGCGATAATTGCCAGATGTTAGAGGACTTTGATTATATGCAATGAAGAAGGACCCGCTAATTCATAACTGCAGTCCATAACAAACATTGTATTACCTCAACGAACCTTTTGATATATAATTTCGTTTTGTTAGTGTTTAAAGCCCGAAAGAGTTTTCCTAATAATACACAGACGGTTCGCAGTTCGAAACTATGACAAGGAATGCCAAGAAATAAACGATCACATTCACTGTGACAAAAATTGTTATTTTCAAAAGTTGATAGTAAGTTTAGCCGATTAACTGATTATGAGAAAGTTCTTATCTATTTGGAAGTTAACTACAGTACGTTAAAGTCTACTGTTTCAAGCTTAATTTTGAAATAGTTACTAAACAAGACACTGCGATGCGTTGCAGCTGTGTTTCTTTGATTTAATGAAGTTTTTATAACGGTATGTTGAAAGTTTATTTTTTGTTTGCTTTTATTTGATTTAACGATGTCTTGAAAGAAATATTTTCATTTAGTTTTTATTTATGTCATTGTTTGGGAAGCAAAACTTCGCTTTTAATGTTACTTTTTGTAATAATAATAATAAAATTAACACAATGATTCGCAAACTTGAGTCCAAGCCATTCCTATTTTTCTTTCTGGATCATTTGCGGTCGACTTTGGGGATCACTTGCGGTCGGGGATCATTTGCGGTCGATTTTGGGGATCATTTGCGGTCTCGGGATCATTTGCGGTTGGCGATCATTTGCGGTACTGTACAGTATAGGCTTGGTTGCCATGCGTGAATCAATGATTCCTAGAATGTATTCATTTACGTTGTAAGCTTTCATTTTAAACCGGAAGGTGAGTTTCTGGGAATCTTTAGATTACATTTAATATAGTACGTCAATTATTTTCGTGAAATGATTAATTGGCAGTATCCTCGCTAGGTTACCTAGAAGACGACGAAAGTTCCCCCAAATAGAAATGGTGAGGTCTTCTTGTACCTTGTATTATGGTTACGCTACATGGCTCGTTGTCATTCAAAGTAATGATTGCCTTTATAATCTTTTATTGAAGTGCAATGGGCAGTCAATCCAAACGTGTAGCTTTAATGTTATTACTTATTTTCTCTCCCAAACCCAACAGCAATTTTCCTATTTGTCAATTATTCAACACTTTCAAAAACAATTGTCACGTGATCGATCACATGACTTACCGACACAATATTTCTACTTTAAAATGTTAAGGACGATGAGTTATTCGTTCGATTCAGTTCCATCCTCTTTGCCGAAGTTATAAGCAATAAATCATTTCCACAGGTAAAACCGTCGGACGCAGGACTGAAAGTACTTGAGAATCGTTAATGACCAATCATTTTTCTTCATTCAGGAATACACGAGTAAGATGATCTGCCGTATCATTACGTGTCTTGTCTTTGTTGTCTTTACCTTTCCCTGTACTGAAGGCAAGTTCCCTAGAGTTTAAACATCCCTGACGAGTCTGAAAATCAAGAAATGTTCTCCAGTCCCAAAAGGCTTTAGTACGCCATGAGGTAGCGGTGGAAACATAGGAACATGCCAGGAATTGATCATTCGTGATTGAACCTTCAAGTACAGTCATAATCAACCTTTCTAGACTTTTTAGAAAGACAACGAGCGCCATAACTGGCCTTATGCTCTTTACCACAAAACGTACAAATGCAATTCAAACTTTGCTGGATATGACCGCAGCAAGTGCGAGTTTGGCTGTAATGGCAAAGACTGCGCACAGAAAAAAAACCCTGACGCGCAAACATTTCTCAAGTTGTCAGCCGAGGAGAAGGATCAATACACGAGGTACATCAACATGTCCAGGTACTACATAAGCGATTATGTGGTGACTTTGACTCCATATAAAGCCATCAACAAAACCGTCATGGCCAACCGCGAACCAACAGCACACTTTCACAGCATCAGCAACTATGACTTCTTCGTGTGGATGCAGTACTATGCTGCACGAGACACCATTTCCCCAAATAACATCGCATTGCGCATGACGGGCAGGGGTTTCACACGTAGCATCGACTGTACATGTTGGCTTGGGACAGAATCTTGCAGGAAATTGGTAACGATGAAAACTTTGCTATACATTCTCGGGACTGGACCGGAAATAAACACGATGTGATCCCGCTATTTGTTCTGAAGAATTTCTTGGTGTAACAAACAAAGATGATGGAACTGTGAAGGGCAAATACTTTGACAACTGGTACGTCATTTGCACCAGAGAACAAACCTATTTCCTGACTAAGATGTGTGACCCGACGCACAACAAACCTGGTTTGGAACGGATTACTGAGAAGGAAAAGGAAGAAAAAGTAAGAAAACGGGATATACTATGACATTTCCAACCAAAGAAGAAGTTATCTTTGCTCTGAGGTTTGAAACTTTTGACCTGCCACCCTATGGAAAAGAGTCAAGCTGTAATTTTAAAAACATCCTAGAAGGCTACGCCATTACAAAGACCGGTTATCGTTTCCCAAATGTCCACACCTTACATAACCAGGTTCACATAGTCGTGGGTGGAGCCATGGGGGATGTACCTTCAGCATCAAATGACCCCATCTTTCCTCTTTACCATTCCTTTGTATATCGTGTTTATGAGGCATGACTTCGCAAGTTCAACAAGAACGCTTTGGTTCTTTCAACCTACGATACACCGATCAGACACAATAAAGATGACGTCATTGTACCACTTCATCTTGTGTATACTCGTCAACAGATGTTTAAGAAGTCTTTCGAGTTCGGTTATGACTACGACGATGTCGACGAGAATGGTAAGTGCACATGGAGTTGCTGAATTTCTTTTAATTTTTCCTTTCAATTTCAATCGAATGCGATTTAGTGCATTTTTAGTTTAGCCCTTTGAGTGAAACTAAATTTTACTCAAACCTCGCTGTACGGACCCCCACTTTTAATTAAGGACAGTTTTCTTTGTTCCAGGGGAAAGCCCTTTCTTCTCTTAATTCTACCCGTTTAATACTTGTAGTCGTCAATATGGACAACGGACACTTTTGTAGGTCTAGTGAAATCATGAGTTGTAACATCGTTCGATCACTGGCAATCGTATCCATTCTCGACCTCAGAGCTCTTCTGCGCATGACGGCAGAGTCAGAAGCGTAAGTACTGGGGTCGAGAATGAATCGTATCATGCGATGCAACATGTAGCCTGCGTAGCTGGCGGTATTGTGTGGGTGCCAGATTAAAGTTTTGGTGGCGGAGCCGTGTTCCAAAAAAAGGGAGTAGGGACACTCCGCCGTCAAATCTCACTCGACTACTAGACAATACCGCCAGCTACGCAGGCTATGCAAAATACACCATTTATTGTAACTTCAAATCGTAACATATAGAGTACTAAAGTGTGACGTCATAAAAATGAAATTTCTGAAATTATGGGATTTGTCAGGATATTCTGAAAGAACAATGTCCAAGAGGCCTACTTGCCAAAAATGAGCATTTCGGGGCAAATTGTCTCTGAGATCGTAGCCCAGTTATGCTTAGAAAACTCCATACAAACCTTTCTAAATTTTTTTGGGGTCGACCCAAAAAAAAATTAGAAGGGTTTGTATGGAGTTTTCTGAGTATACCTGGGCTACTATCTCAGAGAAAATTTGCCCCGAAATGTTCGTTTTTGGCAAGTAGGCCTTTTGGACATTGTTCTTTCAGAATATCCTGACAAATCCCATAATTTCAGAAATTTCATTTTTATGACGTCATCACTTTAGTGCTCTATTCTCACTACCTACAATACACATGAATATACAATGAGATATGGAAGGGTGAAAATGGTCGCTGTCCACAGGTGTGGACAGTGCAACATTTACATGACTGTACTGAAGGCAGTGCACCGCGTCGTGCCTGGGGGGCTGGGAGGGAGGGTCGCTGACCGCCCCCTCAGATGTAATTAGACAAATGCACACAATAGGAAGAATGGTGGTAAAATATACAAGGCTAGGAATGGTGGGAGTTCTATTGTTTTGAAAATATTGTTGCTTTATTTGCGGTACTGGGAAAAAAGAAAAATTGCATGTATCACCGGGCGCTCTTGTCTACTCCCAAATTAGCCTATCCCGGAAATTGAAGAAAACAAAAGCAGCACTAATAAACACCAGTTCTACAAGGTGTTTAGAAAAAATTGCAAGCAAGCCTCGAGCGAGAGCTAATGTCTTGAGGACGAACATTCTGCGGGCGTGCAGGTTCGGCCATGACGCGTGCAGTACGGAGCTGAGGAAAGTTGACCACCCACTGAGATGTTATTATACAAATGCACACAATAGGAAGAATGTCGGTAATATATACAGCGCTAGGAATTGTGGGACATCTATTGTTATGAAAACACTCTTGCTTTATTTCCGGTACCGAGAATGCTAGAAAAAGTAAGATTAAACATTGGTTTCCCTGTGGTGTGGACGGACTGTCAGTCGGGCGGTCGGTGTACGGTCACGTGACTACCAAAAGTTCTCAAATGGGTAGATTTTTTTTAGCTATGGGGCTTCGCGCGCGCTTAGAGCTCCACTATAATGTAAAGTTCACTCTAAGATTTTCTGACCGTTTGTAAGCCGCTTGCAATTGTATCAATATCCAACCATCATGTGACACTTGACGAAGCCCTCTTGTAGAAAAATCACCTTAACACTTTGGAATATATGTACAACTTTTTGTTTCTCTCGTACAATGTTGAATCTTAGAAATTTCAATTCTTGGTAAATCCTCAGCCTCTTGATTGTAACTTATAGGCTGAATTCAGCCTATAAGTTTTCTTTCTAGCTCTATATGATCATGATATTGTAATTGTTAGTCAATAATATTGTAAATATTGTTAATAAATCTTCTTTAAAAATACTATTAATACTACAATTTTTATTTTTTCGCGGCTTGGCCGCTCGTGCGCCCGGCTCGACAAAAGTCTCCAGAATAGGAGGTTCCATTCACAGATCACGCATGTTTATATTTCATCTATTCTTTTGCTAATGAAACGGGCCTAGCTTCATATCATTCCTTTCGAGTGTGGGCCGCTGTTGATCTCGTAATTCTCCACCAAATCTAGTAAAGCTAGTTCGATCAATTATCTTCATCGAGACGGCCGGTTGAACCCGAAATGATGAGAAATAGCTTTGAAATATGAGCTTAAGCTAATTTTCCTCAAATGTATATTTGAATTCATGATAAATACAGCTCCACCAGCTTCAAAGAGCGTGTGTGGCAGAGAAAAATTGTTTTGATGTGACAAAATTAATTTTCCAAATCATGTGTGTCACTGTGGTGCAGTGGTCAAGGAGCTGCCTGCACGTGCAGATATACTGGGTTCGACTCCCGTCGCCGCTGTTTTCTATTTCTTTATACCTTTTTCTCATTTTTTTAACACTATTTTTCCTTTTGGCCTTTTTTTCTCTATTTTATTGCTGACCCTGCTGGTCATGAACTTGGATCAATATATGTTTTAAGCTCAAGCCCGGATTTTATTTTGGAAAAGTGATTTCAAAAGCTCTTGATCTGCGTACTGGCCAAGCTTACGACCAGATAAAAGCATAAGCAGTCAAGACATGTGCCTCCTCTGAAACAGCCGAATTTTTTTCAATGTTAGTTGACATCATGACAAACAACACACAGTACACCACAAACTGTACTAATTTACACCCAACCCCTCCTCCCCCGGCCCCAGAGACCCACTGGAGAAAGTTAATCTTGCGTTTTGTACATCGTCTTAATTATGAATATTATTACTCTAAAATCTCCAGTGGGTTTGCCCCCCAAAAATAATTAAACGAAGTCTTTGGTTTTCGGGATTTAATTACAGAATTACATGCGTATGCCCAATACTGTATTAAAATGCGGTAAAGCAACAAGATTCAATGCTCATAGTCTCTCACAAATACCTGTCATTTAGCTTCCTCTTTCAAGGTTACAGCTAAGCGAACTTTGAGAGGAATGATATGGGGTTCCACTAGCTCTGAAGAGCTGAAAATACGCACAATGTAAAGTATAATAATCCTTTCATGAACCTCCCATTGCTGTGTCTAAACTCCTCAATCTTGCTGTGCACTGGCCCTCAAAAGTGTGACCGGTAGGTATGATTGCCAGTAAAAGTATCGACGGTAGAAAGGAATCTTCAAAATTCATTACACCACTGGACATTTCATTCCAAAAAAGTACTTAAGTCTAGTTTTCTATGACAATAGAAACCTTAAAATCTCCAAATCCAAGAAATCGGAACAGTATCCTCCTCCCCCAAACCCCAACTACACGCCCCGAACACGTTTGGTGGAAGTCTTCAAGATAAATCCTGTCATAAGCCCGAGTTCAAGTCCCGCCTGACTGTTAGCTGGATTTGTTCACGGTAGTCCCGAGTTCAACTCCCCGACCACGCTTGTAAATAGCCAGCTGGTTCGCCTCCGGCCAGTTGGGATTCTTACCCCGTTTATGTTTGATTTAATTTGAATTTGTTTCAGGAATTGCTAGGCCCCACTAGCATTAGTGCTATAAATACTGCCGAGGGTGAATAACAGAATTTTTTGTTCGGAATGGTTGCCGGACGCCAAACCAGTGTCCCAATTCAGTTCAACAGGTTCTGTGAATACCGGAACACCTTTGCTTTCACGACATTAGCTGCCTGCAGGTGCTGCATAATTCCCAGGAACCACAAGGGTATAGTTTTGTCAGCAGGCTTCAAGTTCGCCAAATGGGTTGTTTTATCTGGGCCTTTTGACAAGCAGCTACCTCTGTTGCGTGGAAAGTGTTCATTCCTTTTCATGTCGAATAAGGATGGGAATGTTATCAGCTGTGAACTGCGTGAAGTTGTGCGGATTTAGATGAGAAAGGAGAAACGACTGCCGCTCGCAGGCTACTTTTGTTGTAGTACGGCGGCTTAGCTAGAAAATTATGCAATTTTTGATACAAGTACCAAACTTTGTTAGAATATTTGCATTCCCCGGCTGGTCAATTCCTGATATAGTGGCAAGTTAAATTCTCTAATTCCAGCTAATTAGCAGCAAATGAAATTATCAGACCCGAGACCCCCTGCGAAGTACTTTGTCTTCCTCTTTTTGTTTAGAATGCACGTCTTATTTCGTAAAACATAGGAACAACAATACAGATGTTAAATTTGGATGCGAATTGTTATTTTATTTTCTCCACTATATAAATACAGGCCGTAATTTGGAATTTATCTGCACACACTTTTTCTCTTCCTTCTCTTCGCTATCTCATTCTAAATGTGCGTGCGACTCCGTTCAGCTAGAAAAGAAACTATTCTAGTTATATTAAAGACAAAACTGTCCGTTTAAAAAGAGGAAGTAAGAAATAGGTTAATTCTAAGACGCAAGAAACAGGTCACTTCCTCAAGTTATTGACTCGTTAAGATGTGTTATTTGTCAGAAGGAAACAACTGAAAAATCTCAGTGTCCTGTTAGCTGGAGACCGCAAGACTCTGGAGCTGGATACCTTACTTTTGAACAAGACTTAACGTCATTTTATGAGGCAGGGGAATTAAGTTTAGCAGTTCACTGAAAATGTTTTTTTGACTCTTAGGAAATGGAATTGCCTCCACTTTAGCAAGTCGTTTACTACGTCGCGTAGGTCTGTCGAGATGCGTACAACAGGATGAAACTGGATCGCATAATGAAAGAAAAAATACCTATAGGAATCTACAGCAGCAAACGGACACGCTCGAGTATGTTTCTGTTCGCACGGAGAGGAAGCAGACATTAAAATGATAGTTCATGTAGCTGATG